TCATGAAATTTCTTGGGTATGTTTAGGAAGAGTTGCTCTTTGCATGTACTGAGTTTCAAAATGTTTCGTCACTCGATGGCCGAGATCTTAGTGGGGACGGCTGAGAGATGGTCAAAATAACCCGGCCCCTTTAGGGTTAAGGCAGAATTTTGTGAATTCGTCAGGCAGAATCAACAAGTTCCAAGATTACAGACGACTGTAAAAGGTAGACAATAGACTCAAAAAAAAATCGGGTATATTTTTTGTTTATAAAATTAAACTAGAGTTCAAGATTCAACTAAGACCGCTCCAGAAATACTCAGGAAATTAAATACATGTTATATCCAAAGGATTTAGCGAAGATGCAGGAACTTCCAAGACTTCAAGAGGACTAATGAAAACTCATTCTACAAAAACATCTAGGTAAATTTAAGTAAATAAAAGTAGCAAGTTTTCAATAGAGATTCATGAAAAAAGTGAAGTTTCAAAATGTTGAAGAAAGTCGACATCAGGAAGAATCAACAACTTTCAAGATTGCAAATGACTGAAAAAGAAACTGGAAATTTGAAGAATGCACGAGGACTGAAGAAGAAACTTTATGGACCCGGAATATTGAAGATTATGCATATTGATAGGATGTTAACTAACATTTCATGATATCAAGATTTCAAGATTTTCAAGGTTTCAAGATTTCAAGATTACAAGATTCCAGATAGCTCCTGCAAATTCATCAAGTTTCAAGATATCAAAAGGACTCGGGAAGATAGGAATTTCCAATGATTTCACGACTGCACTATTCAAAACAGCTTCAGGAAACCCCATGACATCAAGACATCAAAAGGACTTGGCAGGCCAGAGGAAGTTTCAAGACTTCAGGAGGCCTGATGAAAAATGCAACAGGTATATTTTAGCATAGAAAAATAAGGAATCTTTCAAGAGAGATTGAGGAAAACTCATGAAATTTCAAATAAGGCTAAATAAAATGTGTTTTTGAAATGCCTCAAAGCCTTGAAAAAAATATGGGTTCGGTGGGTTGATAAAAGTTTGCCAGAATTGTTTTTAAATTTTTTTTGGGGGGGGGAATACATTTCCAACACTTACTGCCAACCTTTTTAATTTTGCATTTAAAATAAAACATTAACAATGAAAGATAAGTATTTTTAGTACGATACCTTTTCTACAACTTTTCTTCAGACTTGATTAAATTTAAAAGGAATTTTAGAGGACCTAAATTTAATTTAAGAAACAAACTTAGGCAATACAAGTTACACATAAAACATGCGAAAGAAGTTATGATTAAAATTGAAGTTGAAACACAATACCATAGGCCCTAGGCCCTATTTTTTGTTTGACTTTATCCCCCCCCCAAAAAAAAATAATTACTTTCAAATAGGCCTAACGCCAAGTAAAATGTGTTTCGTAAGGTCTCAATCCGTAAAGTGTACATTTAGGTTCGGTAGGTTGATTAAAAGTTTGCCAGAAAAAAAAGGGTTAGGCCTATGCCCTAATGTGTTTTTTTTTGGGGGGGGGGCGGGTATACATTTTGAAATAATATTGTTTTGTTTTAAATAGAGAATGATTATACAAAGAAAAAAGATAGATGGCCAACATAACGTAACATTTCTTTATGGTTTTCTAGAAATCAAGGTCTGTAAGCCTAATATTTTTTTTCTTGGTCGAGGTCTATTTACATGTATATCTTGCTGAACTAACGGAATAGCTTTTTTATCAGAATTTTGCATTATACATGTAATTAAGATAAGTGTTGGTCCCACAGTTCACTTTGCACATAATTTAATGCAGCTGCAGGGGGCTAACTAGGGATGCTCCGATTTTTATAAGGGGGCACCGAAAATAAGTGATATACAGTCGATTCTTGTTAAAACACTCTAATTTTTGGTTATAGCAAACATTAAGCTTTCAAATCGGGGGAGGGGTTACCAAATAGAAAATATGAAATTAGAAAAAAAAATGAATTCAAACGTAATGAAATCCAGACTTTATTTGTAAAAAAATCCTCAGATTAGAAAAGAAAAAGAATTTGGGTACAAAACAGTGACTCGAACCTACCCCTCGCACTATGGGTCTTGTTAAGAGGGGTAAAATGTTCGAACTCGCACAGCGAGGATTTCTCTTGGCACAATATCACGACCCTATCGCACTTCTCGAAAAATCCAGAAAAAAATATTTATCTACATACGTATCATTAAAGTATTGTAGAGGGCGTTCAACACCCCCCCCCCCTCCAATAAAAATGACCTTGCTACGCCTCTACTCATCTGCATGCAGTGCAGGCCCCGCATTATTTCAAAAGGCATTAAAAATCAAGGGAAAAAAACTCTGTTGGAGTCACACATCCAACCAAAGCTTATTTGGTAATCTTTTAATTTTTGGTCCAACTTTGTAGATTTACTGACCTGTGAAGTTGTGGATGATCATGAATTGGGACGTCCGAGGTCCAGCGCCATTCTGAACAAGCTGAAAATTATCCTTCTTTTTCATTGAAAAATAGAGCAGTTGTAAGGTTTAATCTCATCGAAATTTCATAGAATTACAAGCTTTAAGTCGGATGCACTGTATCCCTTCCTCCATGATAGTAAACCCTCTATTTCACGGGCAACGAAATATATAGTAAAAGAGAACTTGTGAAGTTGTAAGCAACACGATTTGACTCGCACGCACGTGGATCGCGTTGCCGCCTAGCCACACGGTAAACAACGCTAAATATGTGTGTTTTCAATAGAGGGCGCAAGCGATCCGGAATAGATTCAACCGATCCTAATCATCCAATACCCTCGGGGTCACTATTTCCCCACAAACCATGATGTATTATAACAGCCTTTTAATCACAGCAACTTGCTCGATCTGTACCCTGAGAGGCGTATTTATATTTCTTAGACCGTCTGTAATTCAACATGGTGTTTTATTCCTATTTATTGCATTACTTGATCCTCTTGACTGAGTGAGCCAAGCCTCCTCGCCTCGGGATCGTTCATAATAAGCTTGCATTGCAGCAGAATTTCAGACAACCAAACTTTGATTTTAACTTAACATAAAATGAAAAAAAGTTGGTCCTGCTAGAACGAACTGCATCTTGGTCGTTTGACCTCTTCCATCTTGTTCGAATCGTCTTTATGCCCCAGTGCCAGCGCGACGCCGCCGCCACCAGTCTCCTGATGGGTATATCATTGTCGTTTCCCCGATTAGGTGGGCCCTCTGGTTCCCCTTATGCAGCTTTGTGAAACGTACAAACTGATGTCCCCGTAAAGTTGCCGGTTCCGCCAGGATGGTGTGGTTAGATGGCTTACTATATCATATCAAAAAGTCCCGGGTCGAATTGACACGGAATCCGGGTCCTATGGGGCCTGACTCTTTTTCGGGTCAAAAATTACACTCCTCCTGGTCAAAATAACACTCTAAGGTTTCAAGATGACCCGGTTAGTGAGCCAAAAGTTGCAACTTTGACCCATTTGTGACCAGGAAAGGGGTCAGGCCTCATCCCGGGTCAAGTCTGACCCGGGACTTTTTTTCGAGTCTACCCTTTGATTAAACAAGGTGGTAAATGTCCTTAAGTTAACTGAAAAATGAATATTACAACGGTCGATTCCTTTGGCTTTAGGCCTTTGGTCTTTTTGTGCGTTGACTGAAACGCCTCCCCGGCCACCCCACAATTTTTAGGTGGAAACAGCGCGTCCTTACTGCTTCCCTTCATCGTGAACACGTCACTTTCAGATTTTGTCAATGGAAATGCCAAACTCAACTTGCATCTGGTGTAGTAAACTCGGCAAATGGGCTTCTAAACCGAAATAAAGTTGTAGAACGTTTATATTTTCAAATTTAAAAAGAAATTCCTCTTAATGTGTCAGTGGGGCTCGGAATATTCAAGCAGTTTACTATCTGAGCCCCATGCTGCACCATTTCTTGTGCTTATTCGGTACAACATAAGTGGATATAAGCTATGAGATTCATTGAAACTGAAAGTACAGAGGTAAACGACCGGGCTTCTCCGTGATTTTTTTCCCCCCAAAATACCTAAACAAATCACGGCACTCCTTGCACGTTATTAACGACTAATGGGCATTAGAAAAAATAATGCGATGAAACTTAAGCTACAGTTTTGTGCGTTTTTGAAAAGAATCCATCCTTTTTGTTTTTAATTAATCCTCTGCGGGCAACCCGTATCGCACATTACAGTCGGTTTGGTAATTACGACATAGTAATTCGACAAAATGATCAATAATAACCTTCCGTACTTTCCCTTTTGAAAATAGCGAAATAGCATTGTATGACCATTTAATCCGATTATTTTCGTGAATTCAAATCAATCCATTAGTATGTTTTATGTATACCTTTTCAATTACAACGTCCGTAAATAATGTGCAAGTTGAACATAAATTCATCGACACGGAAAGGTGCTTGGTTGACATGACAACCTTTCATCTGAATAAGTGGCCGAATCTTTGGCGGGTCGGCGGAGCACGCGGCTTAAGCAAGCCTATACCTCCCCCTTCCCTTGTAAATCCGCTCAGAATTCGAGGAAGCCAAAAATAAACACCATGTACGTGCGAGTAGTTACTTTTGTGGCAGCATACTGCTTGACGCCATGAGAACGAAGTTGGTCTTTTATTGTATCAATCATTAGTCCGTTATATGAAACTGACGAGCATAAACAAGGTTGTTAAGAACATATTAAGTGGTTGTTAATCCCTGCAATACATGATAAATTAATGCATTCAACATCACAGGTCAGACTAATGGTCTCTGTTTTACAATGTAATTATTTTTTTGACGTCACGTGAAATCCAGAGCTTATTTTAAAAGGGATACCGGTATTGTTACAAAACGTATTTAAGGACCAAAATTGTTTGCCTTGCCCGCCGATTTGACGAAGCTATAGTACATGTCGAGGAACCAGTACTGAATATTAGTAAATATCCCATTGCAACTTGCAAAACTTTAGTACAAGTGCAACTGTATAAGACACAAGCTAGAGTTGGTTTCTCATCAGTATCAATTGTGCGATGGAAGATCACGCTGAAGCAATCCCCACTTTGCCTGAGGGTGTTCTACCAACTGCAGTATCTACCGCTGCTGGTGGGAACATGTTCACGCTTGTTGTCTATGTGATAGTGTTTCTCATCGGCGTACCAGGTAACTGCTTGATTCTCCGCGTCTACTGGACTAAGACTCATAAGACCAGCACCCATGTCTTCATCATGGCCTTAGCCTGGGCTGATCTGGCCGTTTGCATTCAAAGATGGCCACGCGTTGTAGAAGACGCTTTTCTTTTGGCAAGGGGACATGAGACACCACGCGTCATATTAATCGCCTGGGCATTTACGGCGTGGTTTATGGGAGCATCCATTCTGATGACCGCGGTCATTGCAGCCGACCGCTACGACTGCGTGTGCCGAGCACACAACCGATTTTTCACCAAGAAACGAGCATATGTAGCAGTCACAATAACATTTGTGTTTTCGTTTGTCATCCACATACCAGTCTTTTATTTAACAATGTCCACCGACCCTTCGAATGTATCCATGAGAGTGGTTGTACTCGTGCTCCAATTGGTGCTTTTTGTGACCGCGCTTGTGATGATCGCCGTATGCTATCAACTAGTTTACATGGCCATCCGGAAGCACGTCAAAGTAGGTGTTCACTCTCAAGCTGGTCAGGGTGGTGAGAGGCTTGGCAGTGACGTTTCAGGCATGGCTCGTCCCGGCGTGTCCACTTTCGTTGAAATGGACTTCAAAACTTCACCACTGAAAATGAAGGGAATGTCTACCATAAAAACAACGGATGCTTGCTCGTCATCTCGGGCAATTCCAGGTTCATCATCAGATAAAAAGGGGGAGGAGAACAATCTCGAAAGGTCCAAGCGGTTAACCTTCAGCGTAAGACAACGAGGATGCTCCTCATTACCAGCGTAGTGTTCCTACTAACCTGGCTGCCGTATTGGATATCCGTTGCGGTAGAGTATGCCTTGCTTGGCGGAGCACCAATCAACCTGACTTTTCTACGCATGCTGAGGTACTTTTCATTTGCCAGTACGTTCGTCAACAACGCTGTGAACCCGTTAATCTACGGAATCGCAAATAGACGTTTTAGACAAGACTGCAAGGAGGTACTTAAGAAACTCCGGTTGTGTTAATTAATCGAAAACCATTGCCTAATGTCGGTTCTTGGTATTCGGTGGGAAAGCGAACGCAAATTGGTAATTGCATCGCCGCGGACGTCTTCCCATGCAGAGGCCACCGACCAATTAGACAAAAATAGGAGTTGAATGTTTTGTTGTCCTCATTCATGTGATACCATAATTGAGGTTGTGATGCTTGTAGTTCCGAAGACAGAATGTAATTCCATTTTCAGCCGTGCCCTTCTTGCACGGAATTGCACAAAATGTGAGTTTAATTGTGTCGTCACGGCGAGTTTCGCGCTGAATGTGTAATGCACTCTCGTTCGTATTAGCGCATTATAGAAAACGGCGCTTTAAAGGCATTTCCTTATTAAGGCTGGAGTCAATTAAACTGGTAGCCATGAAAAGCGGTTTAAAACTGTGTTATACGAGATCAGTGTACGAGATGCACTTTCTAACCATTTGTATTTATTTAAAAGAAAATCGGCACCTGCTCTGGATAGTATTCACTATAAGATTCTCAACATTGAATATTACATGTCACTTCTAATTATATCAGTCTCCTTAGAGCTGAGTATTGTAATCTCTAACAGGAGAGCACTATAGTGTAACGTTCTAACAGCTGTTTGCGTCTCGGTTGGTTATGTGTGGTCACAACTGTTTTCTTCTGCACTCCAGTTGTATACCTTTCTCTTGAAATGTTATAAAATGAACTGCAGCGACACCATTCATGTACATACCAGTAAAAACTAGCAATCGAAGAAAACCCCGGTTTTTAAAGTGTGAACGCCTTCTAAAACAACACTTTGCGTCTGAGCTGAGGAGTATTTTCAGTTGGGTTTCTCGTTGTGGACACTTGATGTATTGAATTGATTAAATCTGCTGTGGACCCGTTTGTTAATGAAATCAACGAGAAATAAGAAAAAGAGGTGATTGCAAGTTCGTAAAACCGAAAAAGTGCGAAACTATAAAGTTTTATTTTCACGAAGTAGTACGCTTCGATGAATTACAACACTATATAGGAGAGTGTTACTTCGTGAAAACGTTTTTGCTCGCATTTGAGCAGAGTGCGCGCCATGCATTACAATGGTAAATGAAACTTAAGTTTTACTTCGTTAAAACGAAACTTGTCACTTTTGCGCAAAAGTTGCCATGGATATAATTAGCGTAATTCGTAAAGTCAAGCTCTTCAAGCTTTAAAACTTCGTGCAATGGTAGGCCTTGATGAATTTTGTTTAAAAATGTAAAACACCGAAAACCGAAAAAAATTATGGTTTAACACGGTGGAGTGTTACTTCGTGGTGATTAGCGTAATTATTAAAGTAAAGCTATTCAAGCTTTGAAACTTCGTGCAATGGTAGGCCTTGATAAATAATGTTTAAAAATGTAAAAAAAATCTGAAAACAGAAAAATATATAGTTTAACATGTAGAGTGATACTTCGTGGTGTCGGTGACTTTTTTTTTTACTGTGGGCAAAGTAACATGCTAAATATTTTTGGGTTGTCCGTCGGTTGTCCGTTGGTTTGACGTCACAGGGCACATGTTCTATAAAATGTAAATGTATATTTACCGTTCATGCTTACCATGTCTCCGAAGTACATTGTCATGGCTTGCAATTAGGCCCTACCATGTGTACGGTGTAGCGTATATAGATTATTACCATCTAAGTTACCACGTTACTGCGATGATTTTATCGTGTAAACACACCAATGCGCACCTGATATAACGGATAAATTTCAAAGATATTTGTTTTTAATGCTCTTATTTTAAATAATAATTGTTTTTAAAGCTTGTAGATAACGGAACCGTGTCTTGTAATCATAATATTATCACAGAAACACAAAATTCAATTATAACGAATCTCTGGAATACGGAATTCAATGATAACTTATGTTTCATTGAAATGCAGAATTCAGTGATTACTTATCGTAGTATCTTGAACATTAAAAGCACATTGTTCCGAATGAATATATCCGACGATTGGCTGAAAAAGGTAACCTGTCTGTCCAGCCAACACTAGACAACCATAGAACATATTCTAATTCAAACCTGCATTGATACACACTTGATTTCAAAATAAATGTATTACCTGTGACAGTTCACATGCGACTCCTTTAAAATCTCATTCTGTAGATATTAAAGTGCGAACTCTTGCCATAGGCTAATTATAATATGAGTTAATTATTTCAGAGCAAATACAACGTATCTGATCTAGTGCAATTTCATTATGTAGTATATTTAGTATAACACTAAGCGTTAACGTTTATTATGAGATCAAAATATGTAATGCATCTTTATTGTAAGCATACTCTTGTCATTATAAGTGTTAGATATTTAGATGACGTCTATATTAAACATGTAAACTAATAAGAATAGCGGCATTTAAGAACGCTCTTATTAGTAAACTAAATCAAAGCGCTTGCAGTATTATTATTACCCCTGATCATTGGGCCAATTAAACGTTCCAAATACCACCTCACCTCCCTGGGGAGTGAACAGCTGGATGCTGCCTGTTAGGCGCAAGCAAGCTTATTCAATCACAATAACCATTTCTGCCCTCACAGGTACCCATTTACTCCTGGGTGAAGAAAAACAATGAGTGACAAAGTGCCTTGCTCAAGGGCACACGCACCCACAACCCGCAGCTTTACCCACAGACCACGAATCAAGTGCCCTTATAACCACGAGGCCACAGCACTCCACAATAAGCGAGCCCCGTAAAATAAGCGAGCCCCGTGTCTCTGTCTCTCTGTCCGGCTATGCATTTTGCCGTGTGATCATCTAGAAAGTTAAGACTTCTCATACTGGTAGGTAATTAGGTAATTGGGGATATGGAAATATGCATTTTCGTGAGTCAAAGCACGTTTTATGGCCATTTCTGAGGGTTTCCAGTTGGAAATAATGTGCAGTAAAATATCGACTTCGAGTCTCTTACTTTCCCCCTGTTTGTGTACCGTACTTTTCCCGTGTTTGTATTTTGTTTTATTTCCTGGCGGGGGGGGGGGGCATCAAATCCCCTAATACCTCCCCCGGTCCAGCTAGCAGCACCAATGTCAAGCATGCATTTAGTGCATGCCTTGCATTTTTTATTTGATCCTCTTGACTGAGAGTGAGCTAAGCATCCTGGTCGTTTGACTTCTTCCATCTTGTTCGAATCGTCTTTATGCCTGCGCGACGCCGCCGCCACCAAGTCTCCTGATGGGTACATCGTTGTCTTTTCCCCTATTAGGTGGGCCCTCTGGTTCCCTTATGCTGCTTTATGAAACAGACAAACTGATACTCCCGTAAAGTTGCTGGCTCCGCCAAGAGGGTGTGCTTGGGTGGCTATATCATATCAAAAGGTCCCTGGTCAGATTTGACCCGGAATCCGGGAGCTTATGGGGCCTGACCTTTTTCCAGCTCACAAATGACACTCTTTTGGGTAAAAAATATCACTTTACGGGTCAAGATGACCCAGTATAGAGCCAAATATTGCAACTTTTAACCATGAAAAGTGTCATTTTGATCCAGAAAAGGGTCAGGCCCCCTGCCAGGTCACGAAATGTTTTCTCCCAAGTGAGGCCGTGTCCGAAACGGGCTTCCAGAGCTACGGCTACGTCTATTGTCAGCGCGTCCCCGCGTATTTTCAATGGGCGCAGACCTAGACCTAGCTTTAGCCAACTGATTCGGATGCAGCCTTACATCCGCATACATGGCGCCCTCTACGATACGTTTATGATGCGCACGCAGGTATATAATTCTTTGTTTGCACGTCGAGGTTGCGGGTTCGAATCTCGGTTTTTCACCCAAGTTTTTTTCTTTTTCTAACCTGAGGCTTCGGAGGATTTTATTTAAAAGGGAAATAAAGTCTGATTTTCATAACGTTCAAATTCACTTTTTTGTCTAATTTAATATTTTCTTAAGACAATATAAGTTTGCGGTAGCACCATGTGAATAAATCTCTTTTGTGAGTATGTGTGGTTCTGAAAAGAACCGGAGGGACTCAACGTTTCGTTTATATTTTCTTCTCATGTTTTAAAAAAAGTTAAATCTAAAACGCCATAGCCTGCGTACACCCATATGTGGATGTCGCCTGGGAGAAAAAAAAAACCGCTGCCTCTGCTCGATTCATTTTGCTTTAGGCCTTTGGTCTTTTTGTGTGTTGACTGCAACACCTCTTAAATTCCCCCGCTCCCTACCACCCCCCCCCCCCCCCGGCCACCCCACCATTTTAGGTGGAAACAGCGCGTCTTTGCTGCTTCCCTTCATGGTGCACTCGTCACTTTCAGCTTTGTCAATGGAAATGGCATAGTAAACTCAGCAAATGTGCTTCTCAACCGAAATAAAGCTGTAGAACGTGTATATTTTCAAATTAAAAAAGAAGTTCCACTTAATGTGTCAATAGGGCTCGAAATATTTTAGCAGTTTACTATCTCAGCCCCTTGCTATGTTGTGCTCATTCGGTACATGAACGGGTATAGGCTATGAAACTGAAAGTATAGAGGTAAACAACCAGGCTTTTCGGGGCTTTCTTCTCCGATAAAATACCTATATAAAGCATGGCACTCCTCTCCGATAAAATACCTATATAAAGCATGGCACTCCTCATTGCAAGTCATGCATCAACGACTAATGGGCATTAGAAAAAATAATGCGATACGGAAGATTAAGCTACATTAGTTCTGTGCGTTTTTGAAAAGAATCCATCTGTCTGATTCGTTTTTAGCTTTTCAGCGGGCGACCCGGGGCTGTGCTGTATATTAAAGTCAGTTTGGTAATTACGCCTGTATTGTGATTCGACAAACAAGCAATAATATCCTTCCTTAGTTTCCCTTTTGGAAATAGTTAAATAGCATTGTATGGCCATGTAATCCGATTGTCCTCATGAATTCCAATCAATTCCCATAAGGGACCGTGACCATTCAGCCCCGGTATGAAAAGGCCCCCCCCCCCCCGGTAAGCTCGGGTCTATTGTTTGCAAGTATTGACGCATGTAAAATATCCCAGAAGAAACCCGCTTGTGGTTTTCATCTCTCGGCGTGAAACAATAGAACACTTTCGTCGGCACAGACCAAAACCCCTGCCATGCGGTTTCGCGCACAATGACCGTAAATTACCAAGTCGCTTGGAAGGATTTTATCTTTAATCCGGTTAGTCTGCTATTGTTCTGCTCTGGAGGTTCTCTGAAGGGCAATAAATTGATGCGCCAGACTGACTTCAAAACTTCTGGTCAGACAGGACCATGTACCGGGCGAGACTGGGCTGAAGACCGGACTGGCTCTGGACCGGACGAGGTACCAGGGGCCCTTTTCATACCAGGGCTGAATGTTCACGGTCCCTAAGTATGTTTTTGTATTTACCTTTTCAATTACCTACGTCTTTAGATAATGTGCAAGTTGAACATCAAAAATGAATCGACAAGGAAAGGTACTTGGTTGACATGACAACCTTTCATCTGAATAGGTAGCCGAATCTTTGGGGGAAAAGTCTTGTGTGATGAGTTTACGAATGAAATAATGAGAAAGAGTGCTCAAAGATTCGTCTCTCAAACTCAACATGCTCGTTCCCTAGGGCTCATTCTCAGTCCCAACAGCGGACCAAAATCATGGCTAAAGAGTCTTTTAAATCCTCTGCAGGCGGATCCTTGCTGTACTTGGCACTGTTGTTTTAATGCATAGAGTTTTCCATACTCCCTCTTAAGAAGCTTCACTCGCTGTACACCATTAATTGCGTTATTTCCCATTGAAGAGAAAAGCAGTACAGTTTTACCCACGAGCACGTTTCAAATACAATATAAATTTGTCGATAGGCGCTGTAATCTTGGCTTATCTGGCTCCCACACGTATTTACTTAACAACTCAACGGTTCTTGGGTTTTGAGTGCTTAATTGTATCACATAGCAACTGACGAAAACGCACGTGCTATTGAAGAGACGCTTTTATTGGCTCGGATAATCACGGCGTAATGCCACCCGCGCCTATTAGATTCCGTTTACGTCAAGTATCTGAATTGAGAGTTTCTGTAAAAGGGGGCATTGTTTGATAACGAATATAAGGACCTTAACTTGTTTGCCCGTCGATGCGATGAACCCTAGCATGCTTGAAGAACCAACACAGACCTTATAATCTTTGTTACAAGTGAATTTAGCGCAATTGCGAGATCGTGATTGTGAGATCACCATGGAAGATCACTCGTTAGCAATCCCCACCTTGCATCATAAGGATACACTCCCTACTGCAGTAGCTTTCGCTGCAAGAGGGGACATATTCACGCTTGCTGTCCATGTGATAGTGTTTCTAATCGGGGTACCAGGCAACTGCCTCATTCTCCGAGTCTACTGGACTAAGGCTCACAAGACCAGCACCCATGTCTTCATCATGGCCTTAGCCTGTGCTGATCTGGCCGTCTGCTTGCTAAGATGGCGCCGCGTTTCCGAAGAAGACATTCTTTTAACAGGGGTCAGGTACCACGCGCTCTGTTAATCGCCTGGGCATTTACGACATCGTTTATGGGAGTATCCGTTCTGATGACCGCGGTCATTGCAGCCGACCGCTATGACTGCGTGTGCCGAGCACGCAACCGATTTTTCACCAAGAAACGGGCACAGGTTGCAGTCATAATAACATTTGTGTTTTCGTTTGTCATCAGCATCTCGGCCTTTATAGCGATGTCCAACGACCCTTCCAATGCATTCTTGAGAATGCTTGTGTTGGCGTTCCAAATTCTGCTTTTCGTGACCGCACTGGTGATGATCGCCGTATGCTATCAACTAGTTTACATGGCCATCCGGAAGCACGTCAAAGTTGGTGTTAACTCTCAAGCTGGTCTGAATGTCGGGGATCAGGGCGGTGAGAGGCTTTGCAGTGACGATTCAGGCATGGCTCGTCCCTGCGTATTAAACACTGGAGCTACGGACATGTCAACTATTCCTAGTACGTCAAACATCAACATTTCATCACTTCAACGTAAGACAACGAGGATGCTCTTCATAACCAGCGTAGTGTTCCTACTTACCTGGCTGCCGTATTGGATATCCGCCGCGGTAGAGTATGCCTTCTATAACGGAGCACACATCAACACAACATTTAGACTTGCGCTGAAGTCTTCAACTGCCATTGCGTTCGTCAACAACGCTGTGAACCCGTTGATATACGGAATTGCAAACAGACGTTTTAGACAAGACTGCCAGGAGGTCCTTAAAAAACTCAGGTTGTGTTATTAATTAATCGAAAACGATTGCCTAATGTCAGTTCTTAGTATTCGGCGTGAAAACGATTGCGAATGCGAATTTAAGTGTGTCGCCATCGTGAGTTTCTCGATGCGAATGTGTAGTACATGTCCGTATTGGCGCAAATACTTGCGTACAACTTTAGCACATGGGTATAGAAACGGTCCGAACACGCGTCATTCACTTTTTAAGGCTGGAATCAATTGAAACGACTAACCTCAAATTTGGAGGCCTTGCCAGGCCGTTTTCAACTGCACCTTTATTATAAGCGATCATTGTATTACATGTATCATGTTTGTAACTTTTTAGGCTTTATTCATCTGTATTTATTCCAAGGGAATATCAGTATTGGTATTCACTAATATATATTTTATTATTAGTTATCCCACGAGCGCGAGTGGAACACGGAATAATAATAGTGCGTCTGTGTTTGATATGCGACGAGTGCGTATTTATCATGAACATTAAATAGCACATTTGAGTACTATATAGTCTGTCTAAATTGTATCACTGTCTCCACTGTGAAGTTATAGCATGCATGCATCAATCTTTGTAGTATGTTTAACCATTGTTGACTGATATGATGTTGGATATGGCGTTTTAACGCCCGAGGCTCGAGGGCGCAGAGCATCCAAGGCGTAGCCCAGGGTTCCTTGCACCCTGAGGTTTTAACTCACTGCAACGCGGTGTATATGAAGTGCCGTTCTACACCAGTGACATTATAATAATCATGGCAAGATTGCAAGACCATCGTTTGACTAGAGGCGTTTGTGCGTTGCTGTTAGTGCGCTGGCCTTAGTTATGTCACAAATCAACCACATTTCAACTATTAAATGGGCCCAATTTCATCCGAATTTCACATAAATACGAGCTAGCAGTCCTGTGCATGGCTTCGATCCAACTTTTTAACAAACCTGAAGTTCATGGCCCACAAAATGCTCCATAGCAAAAAAAATGAGGGCATACAAATCTTGCTTTGGCGCGCGTAGGCAATTTTGGGCATATTTTCTGGTCTGCACCCTTAGCCCTTCACAGCGCCCTGTTCAGGGCGGTGGGTACGAGCGAACTGCGTGCGTGGCGTGTATAGCGTTGGTTGGCCAAGCTCATGCGCGACGTAGTGTGTGCGTGTTTAGGCAGACGATGCGTGATGTGATGCGGTCAGTGCAGAGTCGTATGGTTTTATGGGAGTTGGGGTGCGGATAACGAGTAGATAGGAAGTAGTTGGATTACTTTGCGTGTGCTCTGCGCATGCTTATGCGTGGCGAATACAAATGCGTATGGGCTGTACAGCGGCCCCGAAGCGATGCTGGCAAGAATAGCTGATGTAAGAACAAGGCTCTAATAGCTGTACGTTGCTTACTCCGGCTCGGATGGATGATGTGTAGCGACTAGCGAGTACAAAGGTACCTTGCTGATGCTGTTGTACATGTACCTTGCCTGCTGTACCTTGTTGACATTGTGCATTGATGATTGTTGTGCATTGCTGCTTCGACTAATAGGATAGGATTAATCCCGTATAAAAAAGACCCAGATAATAAAACAACTACGCCCATTAAAGTTCAAATACTGTACATATATTGCTGAATAAATTGTATTGCTTGTGCCGACAATTCTGTAAAGAGGTGTCTTCGTTACACGTTTATTTAGCAATGAGTTAACAATTAGTCACAATCGCCGTAATATTTTCCTCCAAAACGGACCTGCACCCTTAACATTGAGGTCGCTCTGAGAGGTTTGTCGTATAGGGAAGATCAGTTGTTAGGGAAAATTGTCTTCTCTTCAATAGGTGCCAAATTCAATCCGAACAAACGTTGGTGAGGCCCGGGGATCCCCGCCACAAATGATGTAAAAAGTGGGACGATTGTGATTAATGAAGTTGATTTCTTTACAAAATAATTCAGGGGCGGATCCAGGAATTTTCGCAGGGGGGGGGGGGGGGGTTCATCAGCAAAAAAATCTGAAAATGTACACAGGTTTTTTTCTCCGGGGGGGGGGGGGTACCATATTTCAATAGGGGGCGCTGTTCAAATCCGACAATTATTAACACTAGATTACAGAATGGTGTACCGTAATTTGAAAAGGTAGACATAATACGAGTATATTTTGGGGGGATGACACAGCAGGGGGGGTGGGCGGGGGTTAAGACTTATTTTGTAGGAATTTGTATGAAAAAAAAAATTGACAGAGCTGGGGGGGGGGGGGGTTGACCCCCCCTCTTGATCCGCGCCTGTAATTGGTACTCCACGAATTGCAGTTTTTGATGTGGATTTCATTTTTTGTTCATTCTGATTTTTGTCCTGAACCTGAACCTCCTGAACCTGAACCACCACCTCCTCATCCTGCTACTCCTCTTCCCACTCTCCCTCCTCTTCCTCCATGTCCCCTTCTTTTTGATCTTTCCCAAATTCCATTGTTTATCATTTTTCTACCAGCCACTTTGGAGATTTTCAATGCTCAGATCTTCATCTAACTTAATGATCCTATAAAAATGATCTGTGATTAGACACAGTAGATCACCTGTTGAGCGGGCAGGGCGAAGGCACACTGGCAGTAAGTTAGAAGATGGTGCTCAAGGTAAAAAAGAAGCTGTTGGTTAAGAAAGCATTCAAAGATTACAGGAAGCAGACATACAGGGTGAGTAAAAAGAAAACGAACCCCAAATGGCGAGCCCTATTTGTGTTAAAAAGAAGTTCTGCACGTAGCGCGTTCAAGATCTAGGATGTAAAATCCCAATCAATATTAGCTTTCTTTTAGTAAATGAATCCTTCAAATCGCTCACATTCTTTCCAGTTATGGACTTTTAAACACAAGCACCGTTTTATATTTGTGTCCACAGATCACAATAAAGGTAGATATTTCAGCACAACGAAGACAATTCACAGAAACAAAAATCACATCGGAACACTCTCATAACCATGATAACTGGCACTTATTATAACCTTTATTCAAATACCTTCTGCTTCAAATGGTTAATAAAAAAATCATGTTTTATCTTGGCAAGAGCTTAGGTCTCTTTTTACTTGATAGGGGTTGCCATTTTGGGTTTACTTTTCTATACGTACCACGTAGTGTACTGTAATAAGTGGGTTCAGAACGCTCACCAACGCCTTTGAAAACAGGTACAACAGACGCCCTTTTACAAGATGAAGAACACATATCAAATAGCAGGACAAAACTGCAAAAAAGTTGAGGAGAACACATTTTCGATACGATTACAGGGATTCCATCAGGGCCAGTAGCTTTGGAGGCATCCAAGGTATGAATAATTTTGGCAACCTTCTTGGGAGTCATGAGGAGTGTTGATACCTGGTTAGTAGCGCGAAAAGGAAAAACAGGGATGGGGATGATCATTATTAAGTGTGGAAGTGGACACAAAGTTATTTACAAAAAAGATTGCCTTGTCGAATGGAATAAATGACTTCAGGTCCATGGAAGAAAGGAGGGATGGAAGACTTGTAACTGTTAAGAACGCTGTTAGCAATCCGCCCAAAATCCGTAGTGCCGAGCCGCTGTGTAGCAAAGGAATCAGAGTTAGCATATTCCCGCTTAGCATCCTCTTAAACCCTCTTACAACAATTACGGGCTTCATGAAAAAGACGTCCACTTTCCAAAGTTCTAAGGTGATGATTTTTCTTGAAAAAAAAAATGATTACGATGGGCAATTACTGCTGCAAACACTTAAGTGAAACAATGTTGAAAATGCATGGGCCCTAATCTGGTATAGGTACGAGAGAGGATGTGAATTTTCATCCAAAGACAATGAATGAACCCCCCTCCAAGTCTTCTTTCTGAAAGGAAAAACAGTACAGTGGAAAAGGTGGAAAGTATAGCTGAGAGAGATGAGTAATCAACTGAAACAGAAATAGTTGAATTGTAGGAATAACCAATCAGAGGCAGGATCTTGGCAACAAAATCATCAGGGTTTGAACACAAAGAGAGATTGAGCAAGTATCCCCCATCAAAATCACAATTCGGGATATGAGTTGGTGATAATATTATCCGAGTAAGCTCATGAGAAATGGAAATATTGTAAGTCTCAGTACCGGTTTTATCAGTATTGCGTATAAGTGTTTGATTTGTAAACTCATGGACAGCGATTCGTGGATGATATCTGATCCATAATAACACCCTCTTTTGGCAGGTGATTGGCTTTCCGATATACTAAAAAAAATCGTCTTGACGCAAGACTAGTAAGAAGACGGAGGTCACTGGCCACCATACGCACTGCGGTAAACAGGATGTGCAATTCATACAATTTCAAAGCAGAGGCTTTAGGCTTAAGACCAGGCTTTTGAAAATTTCGACCTTTAGACTTTGAATAAAGAAGACCCCTCCTCAGTGACCGACATTACCGAGTGGACATTTTGAATATAATCAATTTGAATCTTTTTAAAAATCTTCTTTAAGCGGATACGATTTGTACTTTTCAATTAGCGTTTTCCCCAATATCTTCGTTTGTCCATCTTCGATACTTGCAACTGAAGTGAAAAGCAATACAACTATGCCCATGAGCATGGTTTAAAGTAAGTGATTTGTCAAAAGGCCGGCGCGGACATCCAGGATTTGGCTTACATATCTCCCAGAAGTTTATACCTAAATGTCAGTGGTTTTTAAATAGCGACCAATGAAAATGCACGTGGTTATGAAAAGTTGTTTTTATCGACTCAGCTGGTTATGGCGGTAATCATTGACGTCACGTAAATGGTGAAAGCTTTTGTGATGGGGGTATTGTTGAAGACGAATATAAGGACCAACTTTTTGGCCGTCGATGTGAAACCTTGAAATGCTTGAACCAGAACGGACTGAAATTAGCGCACTATACAGTTGGTTATCTATCATTAAAGTTGCTTCGAGTGACGATTGTGAGATCACCATGGAGGATCATTCCGTAGCAAGCTCCACATTGCCTGATAAGGCTGCACTCCCCACTGCAATAGCTATAACTGTCGGTGGGGACATATTCACGCTTGTTGTCCACATGATTACGTTTGTAGTCGGTGTACCTGGTAACTGCCTCATTCTCCGAGTCTACTGGACGAAGCCTCGTAAGACCAGCACCCATGTCTTCATCATGGCCTTAGCCTTGGCTGATCTAGCCGTTTGCTTGCTGCGTTTGCGCCGCATTTCAGAAGAAGCCATTCTCCTTGCAGGGTGTCAGGTACCACGAGCTTTATTGTTCCCCTGGGCATTTATGACGGCGTTTTTTACTGCATCCGTGCTGACTACTGCACTCATTGCAGCGGATCGCTATGACTGCGTGTGCCGAGCACAGAACCGATATTTCACCAAGAAACGGGCACAGGCAGCAGCCATAATAGTATTTGTGTTTTCGTTTTTGATGAGCACCCCAGCTTTTGTAGCGATGTCCACCGACCCTTCTAATGTACTTTTAAGAATGCTGGTGTTGACAATCCAAATTGTGCTTTTCGTAACCGCACTGGTGATGATCGCCGTATGCTATCAACTAGTTTACATGGCCATCCGGAAGCACGTCAAAGTTGGTGTTCACTCTAAAGCTGGGCTGAGCGTTGGGGGTCATGATGGTGTGAGGCTTTGCAATGAGGATTCAAGCATGGCTCGTCCCAGCGTGTCGAAAACTGGCGAGACTGAAATGTCAGTAATTCCTATGACGTCAGACATCAAAAACTCACCACTGAAGGGAATGTCTACCACCAAGGCAACGGATGCATTCTCGTCATCCCAGGGTATCCCAGGTTCATCCTCAGATACGCGGGGAAAAGGGCAACAGTCTCAAAAGGTCAAAACGGTAAACCTTCAGCGTAAAACAACGAGGATGCTCTTCATAACCAGCGTAGTGTTCCTACTTACCTGGCTGCCGTATTGGATATCGGTCGCGGCAGAGTATGCCTTCTATAACGGAGCACCAATCAACCCGACAGTTATACGTATACTGAAGTCTTCACATGCCGTTTGTTTCACCAACAACGCTGCGAACCCCTTGATCTACGGGATAGCAAACAGACGTTTTAGACAAGACTGCAAGGAGGTCCTGAAAAAAATCAGGTTGTGTTAATTAATCGAACACGATTGGTGTTCGGCGTGTAAGCAAACGCGAGTGCGAATTTGATTGTGTGACACACCTTCGTTCGTATTAGCATATGATAAACTCGGCCCCATTACGATAGTTCCGTTTAAAGACCTGAATCAAGTGAAACAGTAACCTGCAAAGTTAAGTTTCGTCAGGCGATTGTAGAATACAACTGTGTTATTTGCGATCACTGTGTTACATGTACTATGTCTGTAACTATTTAGCCTTTATTCATCTTTATTTATTCCAAGGGTATATCGGCACTTGTGGTTGTATACAGTTCAGTATAAGTTTCCATTAGTAATACCACGAATGCGAGTGGAACATAGATCAATAATGTAAACACCGCGAAAAAGTCCGCTCTTAATGGAGGGTCATCATTTTGAATTTGTTCGTCTTGTAATGACGTCATTTACATACACCTTTGGCGAGCTTTGTTCGCTAGGTTTTGGTACACAGTTTGCTTCCAAAGACTGTCGTCCAACATTGACAACAGTTTATGTGAAATGATGCGGTTTAAAAAGTTGGACATTGAAAGATTACGCGAGGAGAAATTGCTAAGAAGAAACCCGCATGCATGAAGGTTGTTGGCCACTGTCGACCGCACAGTGCCCGAACAAAGCGCGGGTAATTCAATTTCGCGTGCTCCCATGCATACAAGCACTGTGCGATCGATATTTTTTGCTGTTCGTTTCAGGCAGAGTAACATCATTTATCAAGCAGCAATTTCCATTCGGCGCGTATACTTTTTAACTGGGGCAGCTTTTCAAACTGCATCATTTTCATAAACGATTGTCAATGTTGGACGATTTACAGTCTTTGGTAGCAAACGGGGCTCACAATGTAGCTAACAACATTCCCCAAAGGTCTATATAAATGATATTATCATAAAGACGATCACATTCAAAATTATGACTCCTCCATTGAGTGTGGACTTTCTTTTTGCGGTGTTCAGTACGTCTGTGTTCCACATATGCCAAGAGGCCGTATTTATCATGAACATTTAATAGCACATATGAGTACTAATTGTCCTCTTACTCAAAGATGGAACGAGCACGTTGCACACAAATTCTTCCAGAGGTTGTCCCATTTCATGAGCGTATTTGAGTGTGTGTGTAAAGGGCCCGCGCGTCTTGCAACACCGACTTCTCAATTTCATGTCTGGCAGGGAAGTTCAAAGTAATCGCTGGAGTGATTCACTTTATTTCTTGAATAGTGAGCAAAACTCTTTTAGGCACACAGTCATCAATATAACAAAACGGTCGCAGACTGCTTCGCCTCGGGTGCCATACGCTCTTTGGTGTTCAAAACATTATATCCCACACATCACAGCAGTCAACAATTTTTATTGTTAAATATCCCATATTATACAATAAATCCCCGTCATCTGATTGATGGATCGTTGATCACATGTCATTCAATTAATCGTCCTATCGCACGGCGCGCGCGCGGCGCACAGCGCACATTGGTATGGAGCTTCTATTGCACGGTGAATAGAACTTCCATTGCACGGTGTCATTACTGCCAGTGGTGGCGCTGGTTTAAATCGAGATGAATTGAATGTGATGGCTCTCAACTGTTAAACAGTTTGCATAAATTAAATATGGTGAAATTGTCGAACTTTTGTTTTTACAGTTTTTACCTAAATGAATTGGCTCTGAAAATTCAACCAATCAGATGACAAGGATTTATTCAGGTGAAATATAAACCTAATAATGAATGTTTCACGTTCGTGCAATGGGAAGAATAAGTTCATTCGGTGACATATGAAACGTTCCATTCCACTCGACTTCACCTCGTGGAATGGAACATTTCATCTGTCACTTCATGAAATTATTCTTACCATTGCACCCAGAAACATCCATTATTTGTATAATATACCACACTCATATTGCACTCCGAGTATCGCGATATTAATTCTAAGATGTATACTTAATACGGAGCACGGTGTATACGAGGTAATTTATATGCAATGCAGTGTACATGCATGTGAAGTAAACATTTAGTTTTATTATTCATTTAGCTGTTCAAGACCAATGGAAGATACGGTATAACAATTACTGTTGTATTTATCATGAAAGCCAAATAGCAAATAAGTACTATTTAATCTGTTTAAAATATATCACTGCCTCACAAAAGCACTCTAACTGCACTGTTTCCCGGCCCCCTAGAGAGATGGAGACCGGTAACTAGCTCCCCTTTAAAGCCTTTGAATCGATTGGATCTCCTCTGCGCGCACATCACGATTATACATTTTTGAATCGCTGTTCAACTTTTGTGCATGGAAGCTGGTGATTTAACTCACGATTATCAAGAATCTCACGTTTGTCGTACCACAACAAAGTACACAAAATCACCAGTGTCTCCATGAAAGTAGCTTTCATGCATTTCAACTGCATAGGTTGTAAATATTGAACAGGAATAGTTCTCTCTTAATCGCTATTTGCCAAAGATACTTTCAAATTCAGCAAAAATCGAAGACCAGCTGACCTATTGCCATTTAGCAATAAGTCAGGGCCCACTTTCACGGTAGTCTGTGTAATAGACCACGGCGATTGCGCGGTCTATGATATGTGAGTAGATTCGCTGATTAATTAGGCAAGACAACCAGCTTTTGACCTCTGATTTTTACCAATCAGTGAGCACTTTCTATATCGGGTCTTCGGTCTTTCACCCTTTGCGCATCACAGACAATGGATAAAAAAGCGGTGTCACGCGCCCTGTATCATGTTACGCGATATAATGCGCCCAGCCGTTGTTGTATTACTTACCACTGCATTCGAATTGACCAATCAAACTAATTAGTCCTGATTTGGGAATAATAATAATAATAATATAAACAATTTCTACCGCGCATTTTCCAAATAAAATTGATCAAATGCGCCTTACAATAAGAACAATAAGACTTTAAGTTATTAAAAAATTCAATAATAATACACGAAAACCTACAACAATTAAGTCAAATCATTAAGATAAACCGGTACGTGAATACTACAATGAAATGACGTCGCGATTTAGTAAAGTCGACTCCGATTAGCTGACGCACGGCTTGCATTATCTGCATGTCTAGACATATCAGACGTTATACTTGAGATTTTGCTCCGTGGACGGGTGATACTCAGACTGATATCATGGTAGTCTATGTAATAGACCGCGGCGAATGCCGAGGTCTATGATATGTGAGCAGATTCGCTGATTAGGCAAGACAACCGCCTCTTGAACTCGAGATTTTGACCAATCATTGGGCGCTTTCTATATCGGGCCTTCGGTCATCCATCCGTTGCGCGTCATAGCATAATAATGCGCCCAGCCTTTTTGTTTTATTACTAAACACTGCATTCAAATTGGCCAACCAAATAATTAAGTCCTGGTTTGGGAATGAAATGACGTCACAATTTAGTAAAGTCGACTCCGATTGGCTGGCTCGCGGCTTGCATAAATCTGCATGTCTAGACATATCGGACGTTACACAGAAGACTTGCTCCGTGGTTAACGGGTGATACTCAGACTAATTTCACGGCGCTAAACACACTGCTAACAGAGCCATTAGGCTCGGCACTCACATTAGTTCTGACCAAGATGTAAGCCTATTACCCCCCTACCTTTGAAAAGCGATTGACGCTCTTGGTGCCGACAGGCTCTAAAAGAGCTAGAACCTTCACTAGTTTATCCTGGCTAGATTTTGAACAGTGTTTTGAACTAATAACATCCAAATCAATTGGTTGCCAGTGCCTAGGGCGCAATATAAAGCCTACGGAACAGTGGTGCATCAGTGAATCACTTCATCCGGGCCTGTTCCACCTGAAGCTTAACCCTAAAGGGGCCAGGGGGCTGCCCACTCAACTTTTTCTGCAATAGCCTTGATTTGTTTTTGCGACCCGAGCTGTTCTGACTTTTTAGCCTCGAGCCTTGCGCATCTTTTGATACCAAAAACATAAAAATCAGACCACGGACCGGGGTTGCCGCGCAGCGAAGAACTTTCAGGCGCTTCGCGCCGTGAAAACTGAATTTTCCCGTATGCGTTGTGTACACAAAGCATCTTGGGGATGTTAATGATAAGCCGTTCTATGCATGTACCGAGTTTCATAATTTTTCGCCACTCGATGGCCGAGATCTTGGGGGGATTTCCCCCCCCCCCGGCTGAGAGATAGTCAAAATAGCCGGTCCTTTTTTAGGGTTAAGCTAAGATTGGAACGTACTGCCTGATGCCCGCGTTGGCAGGGGGAGGGCTGTTTAATTTAAACGATATCGAGAGCGAAGACGAGGAACTGGACGTTTAATAAAACGCACACTTATAAACACACATAGGCCTACTGAAATTTGTATCCTTGTTGAGTCATTTCTTTGTTCTCGTGTACATGTAGTTAAGAAAACCTGTGAAAATATGATTTAATCACACTGTGAAAACTCTTTCAACCCATTTTTTTATGATTCCGTTAAGTGTTTCTTTTCATTTTGCGACCGATAAATCAACCTTATCCGAAAATGATCTCTAAACCTGTTTTCCACAGAGGGGAAAACTTGTGTGGACATGGGCAAGAAAACTGGTAATATGTGGACATCTTTTGTTCGCAATTTCACGCAGTGAATGTAATGCTTGTACACAGCTCGTTTTTAATATACTCATGAGGACCTGATCCTTTCCTTCCTTTGTTCCCTTTTGTTTGTACCTCATTTTTTTTCTCGACAGCTGCCATAAGGTTTGTACGCGAAAGTCTTCCGAGGACCTGACCATCGGAATATTTGGCTCGCTTGCCTGAAAAAACAATGGGACACGCTTGCCCCAAATCCTTTCCATGCATCACTGGGCCAACAACCTTGGCACGCTTGCCAACCATTCACCGTGTATATCCACCGTTCGAGATCACGGTTGAATTTGAACTCTACCATAATAAGTGGGTGCTAGACACAGAGTTTATATGTTATCACGTGACTTTAATAAAAAAAAAAGTAATTGTCTAACGTAAATTACTAAGCAATAAATTGGAAAAGCATGCTGTTGTATCCACCGTTCGTAAATACGGTTAAGAAGGTCACACAAGCACAGGTGGTGATAAAAATCATCATCATCATCCCCATCCCCGTCATCCCCGTCATCGTCGTCATTGACTTCATCGTCGTCATCGACGTCATCGTCGTCATCGAGGTCATCGTCGTCATCGACGTCATCGTCGCCATCGTCGTCATCCATTATGTTGTGCAGTAAACATTTGCAGTAATCGGATTAGCTTTGCCTATCAACCACCACACTTTTGCGTTCGCAACCACACGGCTAAACGAAGGCAATATTTTCACTTCTCGATATTGATTAGGCCTATTTAATTAATTCCGAAGCAGGTTCCTGCCAGCTTTTACCCCCCCCCCCCCAAAAAAAAACCCCACTACCCTAGTCCTTACGTACATATAAAACCCAGCTTACCTGGTTTGGCCACATAGTGAGGATGGTAAACAAAAGAGTTGCAAAGCGTATCCTGCTAGAAACAGTGAATGGGAAAAATAGACGGGGTAGGCTACGGAAGAGATGGGCAAATGACATCATGGTTAACAGCGCCCTCTACCTTGAACACCGAAGAGCGCAAGATAGACAGGAGTGGAGAGCGAACATTCGTGGAGCCAACGTCCTTCGGGACATGGTGCAAGATTAGATTAGATTAGATTAGTTCAAAATTAAAAACAACCCAAGAATTCAAATTCAAATTAAGATACAAAAAGGGAAAATCTGATATTGGTCAAGAGCACGGGCGGTTCATCATTAAGTTTTCTCCTTGACCTGGAGGATTCATCTGGAACCTGCAATAACAGCGAGGGAGTCCATTGACTGTGGCATTTCAGGGGGAAAATCTGTAAACTTCGGCCAAAACTGTACAGTATTTCATTTTTGCCGCAGTTCAATGTTAATGAAATTACGCAAGTAAAAATATTTGTGTTGGCCTAATTTGATTATTTTGGCTAACACCCGTGCTGACCTAAATAAGTCAATAGTTTGTTTGAATTTGATAGAAGTCGGATGATATACCGCCCCAGTTCGTGTTGGGACACGGTTTCCTTTGGAATACAGTGTTGGAATTAATTATTGAAAGACCTCTGTTCTTAAAAACATCAAGGTTCATGTTGTCACTATACAATCTCAGATTTTGATGGCTTCAATGTTTACTCACTGAATTTCGTGTAGAGTATTAAAGGGATATCTTTGTTGTGGAATCAAGTCTGATAACCGATTCCGACCGAATACGATTGCGGGGCAAAAGTGGTCAATTATTAATCTCTTCCTGATTGAAGAAGTACCGTCTTGAAATTCTACAGTCACGAAAACTGATTCGTTTGCTTGCATTACCCGTTTCACTTAAATTTCGCCGAGCCTTTACGTTTGAATAGAAATCTTTGTCAAAGATATGATCCATGCGCTGAAATAATGCAATAATCATCAATTAATTGTAAAACATATTTTTGTTGGCATTTGGGCAAGTTGGGGTTAACAATCTAATAAGTTACTCAAGAGGTTACTTTCACACTTGGTATTATTATTTTCTTTAATTCCTTTCTCCCCTATATTTTGTAAATAAAACAGAAACTGTATGGAATTAAAGGACTACATTTTATACAGCAACAACTGGCTTTTGGGTTAGAACATTTACCATCTTTGGCATCAGCAATATTTGATTTGGGATATTACAATTCATTCACATTTCCGAACATTTTGTTAGCCTTCAGTTCAAGGAGCACTAGGTCCTGAAATCCCCGAAAATTTCATGTTTTGAATTGTTAACTTATCAAATTTCAAACATCTGGTTGAAAAGAAACAACCCAATGTCTTTCCGTTCCCGACAAAAGACGAAAAAAACCCGGTTGTTTACATCGGACACGACGGAGTACGAATACGTTTTTCCTGTCGTTCTCAGTCAATGTACGACGATAAACACGTTGTGTGTGTCTAAACAGACAGCACAATTAATAATTGCCTTATTCATACACAAAGCCTTCAAAATTAACTGTTTAAATGTTGAAGGTTTAAACTTTTAAACCTTGAAGTATAGTTTGACTCTTACAGTAGGAAGAAATCCGTTGACCTTCTGTTAACACTCCGTAAATGGTGGTGTTAAATAACAATAAGAACCTCTTGTGTTTACAAGCCAAACAAGGTGCTTCACATACAAGAGGTGTTTACAATATAAATATAATGTTATAAAATCTTTTGAATCTGACTAAAATTTTAACCTGGGTCTTTCAGCGAAATATACTCCCGTCCATTAAGCATAGTGTTTTTAAACTGTTTTCAAGAACGCGTTCATAAATTAAACACTGGGCCATAGTGCAGTATCCCATTACGTGTACAAATTAAGGACTAACGTTGCTGCCAAAGGAAGGTTATTTCATTCAGTACGGCTTTACTCACTCCAACTTCTTGATTGCAACCCATTGCTTGTGACATTTGCTTTAGGTATCACTGATGATTTTTTTTTAAAGAAATTGGTCACAAACTGACAAAACACAATCACATACACTCATTACCAATTCTTATGAGAGCACATTTGAAATCATAGATTTTAAATGAAATCTCTTCAGAAAAACATTCAGAAATTCTGCACCTACAAAACCATTGATTCATTCGCCTGTAAGTAAATGCAATCTTTTAGTCAGATTAGACTTAAAAACAGTCAACTTTGTACCAAGTTGAAATCTGTGTCAGTTTTGCTCATCCGGCCGGTATGTTCACCGGTTTCCCAATCCCCGCCCGGATGGGACGCCAGTCCGCTTTTGTGTCCTACGTTACATTACATTACATTACATTATTAAAGTCGGCCACAACCGAGCCCTGGCACGGATCCTCCATCCATCCAATTCCTCAAGCACGCATCTAGCTCATTTGTCTCGTCCACCCCTGTGTCGATCCCTCTTCAGTACATTGATGTTTGATGCCTTTGGTCTGCCTCTGTGTGTTCTTCCATGTGCCGGCTCCCGGAGTATTAGCTTGTTCCCGGGTAACTCGTGATGACGGTGGCAATGTCCTGCTAATTCCCTCCTTCTAAAGGCAATTTTTTCCCCAATCCTAGGGAGTTCCCCATACAGATCAGTGTTATTAATATGATATATCCAGCTGATGTTGAGTACAGCTCTCAACATTCGAGCAAAGGTGCCGTAAAGTGACTTTTCCAGGACAGGTGTTTAAGTCCATGTTTTGCACCGATGGAGCAGCACCGATTGAACTGTAGCTAGGAAAAAGCTCAGCTTTTAAAGAAAAACACCTTTATATCCTAGGATTTTTAATTATCGCCTGACATTTATCATTTCTTTTAGGAATTCCTGCAGTGACTGTTGACATTATATTTCATCACAGCTTGCCCGAAAAAAACCCAGATACGTCCCTATCACCGATGAGGCAGGTGTAATAATGTATCTAGGGAAGGGATGATGTCTTGTAAGTTAATGTATTTTACGAGCATGCATATCAAATTGCACCGGCGAAAATCAAAATCTAAAACTGAAAGCTAAAAAAATATCAATTCAAAAGTTATTACGTTTAATCAGAACTATACATGTGATTTGACGCGTCGAAAGAAAATAAAAACCTTTGAATCTTGATTAAACAAATAATACATGAAAAAAGACAAAGCCGTAATCGAGCAATGGAGCGACCGACTGAGTAACTAACACATCATTTGTCGGGCGAAGCAGATGATGAAAAGCTCATTCCAAACTAATGTTCAAGGCAACATGACAAGGCAATGCGGACCAAAGCAAACACCACTGAATATTCTTTCATATCAGCATATTCTCATCTTACGGAAGACATTCTTACAGTCCTTCCGAAATCGTCTGTTAGCTAGCCCGTAAATGAACGGATTGATGGCATTGTTTATGTAAAGGACTTCCATGAAGGTGTCCAGAAAGTCCGATTTTCCTCCAAAGATTTCCAACAAGGCCTTGACCCAGTACGGCAGCCAGCAGAGTATGAATACGACACTGGTGATGAATAGCATCACGGTGGTGCGGCGCTGAAGTGCTGGCGAAGGGCCTTGGGTGCGTCGGAAGACGGGCCCTGGCCTTCGAGGTGGCTGAGTTGATCTGGCCGCTCCACTATCAGCAGTAGACGAGTTGGCCACAACGTTTCTGCGACCAATGAGCTGCTGTTGTCTGTCCTTGGCTTTCCCATCTTTAGAGGTTGTCCGTTTTTGAGTGTGGCTGAGTTCACGGTTTTGCCGTCTGTGGCGTCTCTCGACCCGTCCAGGAGAGAGACCAAGCGGCCTAGTGGATACACCTACCTGCCTTGACACAGTGGAAACGCATATGGACGGATGAGATCTGGTCGACCAGTCAGTCTGGATGTTCAGTATTTGGTCATCCTTTGGGTGAAGCACTCGAACTTTGACGTGTTTCCGTATTGCGAGAAACACAATGCTGTAACACGCAGATATCATCATTATGGGTAGAACGAACGAGGTGACTTGAAAAATGTATATAACCACATCGAGAGAAAGCGAAACGTGAGAGCCGTCCAGGGACGCTCTTACGTATACTGGCACATTTACGGCCACAGAGAGTACCACAGCGATTAGAAGGGCCTTCCTAGCACGTTGGTGGGTCATGAGGCGCCGGTTGGGCCGGCACACGCAGTCGTAGCGATCCAGCGCAATCACGGCAGTCACCATGATGGAGGTCCCAACTGCCGTATAGTCAAAACTGTTGAAAGTTTCAGTCAGATCGGGAATATCTGTCCCTGACAGGATCGAAGAATTCAATGTCACATCCCATAAACGCAGCAGGCAGATGGTCAGGTCGGCTACGGCTAGTCCCATGATTAAGATGTGAGTGCTGCACTTGTGGGATTTGCCCCAATACACGCGGAGAATGAGACAGTTTCCCGGCACGCCTATGACGATGATGAACACGTTGTAAATCACAAGGCCGATCGCCTTTGCTCGGTCTGTGGTAGCATAATCCACAACCTCATACACTGAGGTGGTGTTTATGATAGAAGCGTTCATTTCCATTGTGTTTCCGATGACTTCACCAACGACCCAACTGATTCACTCATGGGGTTTTTCCCCACAAAGCTGGGTCGAGTCAAAGTGATAAGTCAGGGAACTGCTCTGCAAATGAAGGTATGATGGATAAATCTTCGCTTACCATCCAAAAATCCTCCGAAGAAACGTGAGATGAATTCTACAAATCTATAGCGAGACATCAGAATTGTCAAATAAGCGATGGTCCTGTTGTAGCATAACTGCAGGCAGTACGACTGCAGCCAGACGACTGCTTTCTGCCCGCTTAATTTTGTTCTTTAGTCTAAAAGCGCGTTGCGCTTATCATATGCGCACGAAACAGTTTGATAAAGCCTCTAACATCTGATGCATTAGTAGAACAAAATACACCTTTTTAATTCAGTAATGAGGCAAACCACTCGGCACTCACTGTATGTGATCTTGACACGTAACAAACAAGCCGGTGTAGCACTGTGGGCGTATTATTCATTTAGCGGTGTCGCCCGTCTCCGAGTGATTTATTAGTGTGATTCTCGAGCACGTTTAAGCCATTATCCAAGTCCACTCACGTCCCATGAGACAATCATATCGAGGGAGTGTCAGCACTTTCCTTAGCACGCTTTACACAACAGGATGAACCGCGAACACCATAATCTAATGAACCAGACAAAGAAGAGAATGGAGATGTTTACCTCCCCTTGGCCTGAACTTTGCGCAGACAGAAAATCAAAGACTCAATTACAAAAGTCTACATCTTGCTTTCAGCAATTGATGACTTCGCTAAATACGAATATTTAAGTGATGCAATGGTTGCCATGCCTGCTCTTCTTTTCGTTTACCAATGCATGCTCAGAATTCGCAGGGCAACACGGTCCATGGTCTGGATTCAAAGTAATGCATTAATTTTCCCTCCGTTAATCGTGCACTTTTTAAACTGAACTTGCATGCTACGTGCGTCAAAACACCTAGTGATGGTGGCGCTGTTGTCACGGGGTCTCTTGGCGGATGTCTCTCGGCAACAGATGATCATTGTGCATTCTACTGGCCGCTGTCGTCATTTCCGACCTAATGAATTCTAAGCGGAAGTTGCGCTACCTGTTCTGACCCGCTGGTATTTCGACGAATTAATCAGTCACGGCGACACAGTTATCAAGCACTTTTACGCGTTGTTTGCACACTGGTCAATCTGAGGTACAACAAATTAGCCGCCGTTGTGTGATCACAAAACAATGCGAATATTTCGGCTAAAAATTAACCTGACAAGTGTGTGTAAAACTCTTAACAGCCGCACAGAGAAGTAGCGATCAATCACCAGCGGCATTCGCACATTTTGCTTTAGCTGCATGCGAGTGTGGAACGACGTCGGGAATCATGGTTGAGGGAATCGAAAAGCCGGAAAATGGCAGGATTTAATTTTGAAAAACCACTCGGCATGGTATCTGATCGCTTTGTGACCCGCCAATGTCCTACGATTTGCTGTAGTTGATTTGTTGTTAAGGCTTGGCACTGACAATTGGCGCCAACTAAGTCGCCAACAACAAAGTGCAGTATTAAAGGTGGACGCTTGATAAAAAGGGACATATCTAGATGATAATGGTATAAAACACCAAATTTGTATACAGCCAAAGTGTACTTGATTTTTTTTACGTTAAGCACTTGGTTGCTACAGTACTCAGGTGACTCACAGTGGCCTTTGGCAGATTATCAGTATCAAAGGCCCGAGGACCACTTTCCGTCCTTCCTTCGTTAAAGAGCTTTCGCGCTAAGCCCACCCCCTTTATAATGTCATGGCTCCGCCTTTTAAATGGTCTGAACAAATATGGATTAAAGTAGTGGTTTCGTACTTGTTGGGGTATCCATAGGTCATCCTGAGAGTTTCACAGATTGTACAAAAACAAAAATGCATATTGGCCCAACAAGCCCACTGACCAAACATGCAAAGCTGTATTCAGTTACTGATTTTAAAGACCTTTTCCCCCAAAAATATTTCCGTTTGGATAATTCGTTGTCTCCCACAAAATGGAAAAGGTTAGAAGTTATTCTCTTCAGACAAGATTCGATCTAGTTTTTGATCACATTCAGTACAGATTTCACTGCATTTTATCTATGCATGCAAAAGAAACAGGCCTTTCTTTGTAACTACCCCAAAATACTACCTGATATTTTTATAGGGTATTTAACGTTATTTAATGGCACAAACAAGAACTTTAACAGGGGACGCCAAGATCTCCATATCTAACAGGTATCTCCTTGGATTTTTTTTTGGGGGGGGGGGGTTACCTCAAGGACTGGGCGTACCGCATTGTGCTAAACCTTCTGCGGGAATTTCGCCGACGAATTACTTTTGAAATCCAAGCCCTCACAAGAACACGGATACAATGAGGATAATGGGCACAACTATGCATTGATCTGAATGACGGACGGGTGGAGGGTCGAGAAGCAGGATAGTGAAAATGTGAACCTTATCTGTAATTCAGTTTCAAGTTCAATAAATGCAATTCCATTTGATGGATGTCCTATTATTCCATTTATTTCCTTCATTGTCCTGAGGCCCAATGTTGCCATTGTGTTCATAGCAAAAGGCCTATTCTGAACAATGTGTTGGTTTGGTGTACTGACGAAGAAAGGCCTGTATCCTATTCATGCAAGGCGGAATAGCCTATCAGTAAAACTTTTATAAACTGTGGTTGATACGCAGACTGATTGATGGCTGAAGAGAAAAACTGGTAACCTTTCCCATTTTCTGTGGGAGACGAAGAATTATCCAAAGGGACATTTTTTTTTACTCGCCCTGTACTGTTCAAAGAATTGTATAATTCATAATTTCATCAAAGACATGTTCAATAACAAACCTTTCTTATCTTGCACTCTCCTTTCTCATCATGTAGTATCCTGGACATTTTGTTTACCTTGTTCTTAATGGACATTATCTTTTAATTTGTTTCCAAATAAATTTTTAAAGGGAAGATACAGCATTTGCAAACATCAAAAACAGTATCAAATTATAACCAAATACCTTATTGGATTGTTAGGCAATGACAGTCTAAAGCATCCTGTAAAAATGTGCCTCCTGGTGTGCTGACATTTTCAAGAACAGGTGTAATTTTTGCAAAGCTGATCGGCCGACCAGCGTTGGAGAAAGTGGCTTTTGATTACACACCTGTGAAGGAGTACAAGCCTGCTAGACTGATTGTCCCACCGCCTTACAACCCCCAAAGTCTGTAAATTGCTCCATTTCATTTTAAGTGGAATCAGGGAACCAAACTACAAGAACGTGATTGGTTTTCTTGATTTTTCCAGCATCTACAAGCCCACAACGTAAAAAAAGTCAGTTTAATAATATTTGCTATAACATACTAATCCTCCAAATCCATTTATTTCTGAAAATTACAGCCAAATTAAATGTTGTTCATCCCCTTTAATACTTTTTTAACGACATTTTACTGTTAATTTAACGCAATCTATCTATTTTAATTGATGTTAATTTTAATCTTTGATTGTCACCTTTTTGTTATCTTTGTGTAAATCATGTTATTGTGGGCTGCAATATTGATTTCATTTCTAATAAATCATTTTCAATTCAATTTAATTCAATACGTATATAAAACAAACACAAACTTCCAAATAGTTCGGTTAATTGATCAAATGTTTTATTCAGTTTTCCAACGCTACTTCACGTTCAATTAAAAAATAATAATGCCATGATTTAACAACTAATTACCAAAACAAATATAATAATTAAGGGGTTACGCAGTTAATTTATCTTGAATTAAATAGGCAGGATCATGTAAATTAATATTAAAACATCGATCTGAGATTTTGCGAAGGCTCAATCCAATTTTAAATTCTAAAATATTATATCAAAATTAATACACCATAACAGTCTTTGTAATAACACTGAAGAAAATCAAAACAGTTAACTAAATAACAACATTCACAGAAACTGAATGCGACCTGATTTTTGAACTCCCCAATCACTAAAAGTTCTAGTCTGTTCTAATTCTGTCTTGTTAGTTTGGCATTTGCCGACTAAGGCTTGATTCTTTCAGTTGTTTAATTTGTCTCTGTTTTCTCTTTATCGACGTTACTTTATTTTGTTGCAGAACATTTAAAGATTTCGAAATAGTAGTCTGCAGGCATAGGTAAAACTGAGACCAAATTTAGATATCATAAAATATACATCGTAAATTTCTATGATATACTTCAGATATCCTTGGCCCATATATTGACACTAATAGAGATCAACTAGGATGACATGCTTACTACATTTCTCTTTCTATTGAACCTAGGCCTATATAAACAATTAAGTAGCACTAAAGTGTTGTAGAAACCAAACGATCATTATATCATCGTAATGACATCCAAGATGAAGGATGTTGTTTTCGCAAAGTTCATGATCATGCCTGCAAATAGGGATAACAACATTATAGAAACCAAACGATTCCGGCTCATATTTCAGCATTGTTTTTTTTTCACATCGTGAAATGTTTTCTGTGGTATGACGATATCTTACAACGTAGATAGATTTCGACATTATATTTATTCAATGACATCCTTATCATTATCTCATCATAATGACATCCTGTACGAAGGATGTTGTTTTCGCAAAGTTCATGTTGATCATATGCCTGAAGATAGGCATTACAATATTGGTCTATATCTTCCAAATATAATGCATTGTGGGATTTCTTCATTCTTATATACCTTATTTTTTTGCGCACTACACCTTTAACTATCAACTACAGGAATATAAAACTTAATCTTAAAAAGAAGTAGAAATTGAGCAACACTAACATTAAGCACTGATACAGATACTTATTATTCGAATCAAAATATGGCATTTTTTTGATACTTTACTGAAATTATTTATCACACAAAAATTAAAAAGTGATCAACATTTAGCTATGGAAGCATTTTTTTTGCAAGATAGTCAAGACATGACCCGTTTGCATCTCATGGCTCAGTTCGGGTCAGGCGTTTGTTATTCCAGATGAAATTGTGTTAATTTGTTGGTTTTTAGTGAATGTTTTAACCTGTTTGCATTGATTTTCGGAGAGCCTATCTATGGTCGTAGGTTTCACCACTGCAGCGGGTCAGGAGGGTTGTACCTCGGGCTATGCTCTGTGTAGAACTGGGAGAACCATCGGCGATGTGCGACAGTGGGACTGTCCTCCTTGACGTACTGCGGTTTGCTCAGGTAGGTCTTATTGGCCCAGATGACAAAGTCTCCTTGTAGCTGTTATGTATTAAACAAAACATTTGCAGGTACTGATTAGTACATAATAATTCCCGTCTTGTCTGACGTGACCAAATCCGGGTCGAAAAATATCGGTCCAGAACATATTTTTATCTTGGTGGGGGGGGGGGGGAACATTTGGTTCCCCAAAAAGTGGGTCCAGAAATTACGGCGAGGGGTTCGGGGGCTTGCTTAAGGGTCCAGAAAAAAAAGTGAATTCTAGATGCTCTGTATGCAATCTGGATCAGGGTCGCTATATGCAAACTGGATCAGGGTCACCATAATAATACCAAAAAAAACCAGTCAAATAAAACTATTCCAATTAATAATAATAATAATAGTGGATATTTATAAAGCGCACGTATCCACCAGGACTGGTGCTCAAGGCGCTACATCATTATTACCCTGCTCATTGGGCACATGAAACATTCCAAATACTATCTCAGCTCCTTGGGGAGTATACAGCTCGATGCAGCCTGTTAGGCGCAAGGATGCTAATTCAATCACAATAACCATCTCTGCCCTCACAGGTACCCATTTACTCCTGGGTGGAGAGAAGCAATGAGTGACAAAGTGCCTTGCCCAAGGGCACACGCACCATGACCCCGCCAGGACTCGAACCCACAACCGGCAGCTTTACCCGCAGACCACTAATCAGTGCCCTTAACCACGAGGCCACAGTACTCCAATTACATTGCAATCGCTGCGTGTTAAGTCGTGTTTAACTTATAAACGCTTGTTTTTACTGTTTTAACAAATTGAATGATATGACAGACCTCCGTTACCCAGAGTGCAATTTGAATAAGTTTCTTTATTTTTGTGGAGGAAAAGGGTTAAAAGATCTTTTTCAAGGAGCACTTACAACAAGGAAATTGAAATACAATCGCAGCTTGTTGACGATTGCATTTTTGAGTCCCTTGGTATACGGGCTGTACAGGGTGAAGGTCACTTTTTGCCTGAGCGGCCCGACGGGTGTGTTGGCAATAACCAAGAGCTCCTTGCCGAAATGTACAAAGGACAGGCCTGGCCCGTGCTAATTTAAACGAAAATAAATAAAAATGTGAAAACAAAATTAGTGACAAAACAAAAACAAACGGAACATCCATCAAAATAATAATGCATGGTGGTATAGGGGCCGTTATAAAGTCCATACGCACGAAGAAATGGGGGGGGGGGGGGATAACAGTGCGTACTCCACGGGTACGCGTACAGGGCGGATGGGGAGGAGGGGGCGGTCCAAACCAATTGCCATGAAATCAATGTACTTTCTCACACATACTAGGACCAGCTTTTATGCAGCAAAAATCGTTATACTGTGTCGTTACCCCCCTCAATTAGAGCTTTCTTCCTAGTGCCACCGCCAGCCAACGCGTTGCAACGCTTGTAGACGCCATTCAACTTAAGAGACCATCACAAAAAAACTACTCCCAGTAGTCGACAAGGGTATAGGTGATTCGTAATGCTTTGTAATGTGCAAGTACAATACAGTACGCCGGTAACAAATAGCCTATCACGTATCTCTCTTCTATCAGTTTAATTCCTTAGCGTAACATCCACGTGCACATGCAGCTATGGTATATGATATACGAGCAGATTATTTTGTGCAACTACCAGGTAGTTGCCCGGGCCTCGACATTCTGACCATTCAGGCGCCCGCTTTCTATATGGGGTCTGCCTGTTGTTGTATAACAAACACATGACATCCAAATTGACCAATCAACATTTCGGAATGATATGACGTGCATATATAATTTTCGGAAAGATATGATGTGTAAAAATGTGCAGGCTTAGATATATCACACGTTGGACTGGGGACAGTGAGGACTGCTTTAGACGACGGTGATACTCAGACTAACAGGGAAACGGCGGTGTTATCAAAAAGTCGACATAGCTTGAGTACGTACCCCAAACTAATATCTCTTGGTTTTTTATTCGATAAATTGAATTAATAGGTGGCACCCGTAGCAGAATCTGAACGTGCGACTACCAGACTGCCGTCCCGGATCCCTACCATATGGGAAATAATATAACTATTCCTACGTTTGATTGATTACAAAAATCTCAAAATTACTTTTGAGGAAACCTCACAAACAAGGTATATCCATTTACTGAAAGATATCTTAGATGTAGGTAACAACTTTAGACTTCATTTTCTTTCCTTTTAACATGCAGGTAGAGAAACCGCTTTAACCTACACTATAAGACAAGAGTGCAGGGAAAAGGGTAGATAACAACGTCCCAGTATAAATAGGGCACACCTTAATAATTGAACAAAAATGCTTCCCTGGCTACCATTGAATGCAAGTCAAGATATTTACCTGCTCCTGGTACTGCTCCCTCTTTTCTTTCTTAGCGGGACTGAAATAACTCCAGAGACCTTTGGAGTCTTTCCGGACAAACGAGGAGGCGGTAATGCCGATATGTTTCTTGGTTTCGTGCTGCTCAAATGTTCCGGTGTAGTGCTTTTCGTATATTTGTCTAAAAATGGAAAATAGATATCCGTAACTATTTTACGGAAAACAACATGGTTCGTTCGGTTATTGAAGCTGCCCTGTTCTTTTAAAGCAAACTCTTTAAAAAGCTGTTTTCTTCTACAAACTGTGGCAGCGCCAGTATTTTTTTTTTGGGGGGGGCAAGCAAATATTTTCGGGGGCAGTCAATGTTTCAAAAATAAGCCACTAGAGCAACTTGAAATAAAAACCCCAAATGGTGTATAACAAAATGTATAACAAAATGTACAAAGACGTTGGCTGAATGTGTGGCGTGTTTGTCTTCCAAAGTAGGCTACCAATGTTTATAATGCTTGCATTGGCCCGAAAATGTGTCCACTGGATCCACACTATCTGAATTACACTTTTCCACCAGTTTTTGGAAAGCTATAAAAAATATATGGAATTGAAGTTATTTTGCCTTTAATTTTCGTCTTGGAGACTTCAGTTAAGTTCAGTATATTACCACAGTACCAAAATATCACGGATGACAATGACAATGACAATCTTAATTAGAGTAGCAGAAAAAAAAACCATTTAGAATAAAGATGAAGATGAAACAAACAATTAGTATGGAAGATGGGTAATACTGCGGAGGGTCCCATAAAGAAGCAATGCTTGTGAGGAATGTGCTCCTAAGATTGCATGTGCATTGAGCCGAGTTGAAGGGAGTCTTTTTTTGGCCCCGTTTTAAGGTGCCTATTGATTAAGTGTCACAAGGCCTAAGATAAGGAGTATAATTATGTTCAACTCAAAATCTCAACATTGACTTTATGGTTTGAAGTTATTTCAAAAATAGTTAGACGAACACTTTTAATGGGACACTGTACACTGCGTCGCGTGGCAAGTACATGTCCCTATACACTCCAATAGTATGGTTAAAAATTAACCGGACAGCAATGCTTCATGACTGCACTTCACAAATTCTACAAAAAAAGGGAAAAACGGGGAGGAGGAGGGGTCAAAAGAAAAGACCAGTAAAGCAACAAAAGAAACAGACCAAAAACCAATATTACTTACGGTCCGTGGACGACATTCAGGTGGGGTATGTCTCCACCATTCTCAATAATATCCTGCAACATATAAATTAAGGAGATACGAAACGAATTAAGATAGCAAACTATGAATACTTCAGTAGACGCACGTAACTGATAAAATAACTATACATAGACAAACTTTTAACTGACTTTCGCAGACTGTTTGGATTGTATTGTTGACCAAAGTATATTTCTAGCACCTCAACATAATTCGTGTTTTTTTTTAACAGTTGATAGAATGTAAAGGACAGTTTGTCTAGCACTTTTGTTGTTGAATTTTTTTCACTAGCCGCCCGCCGGATCCGGAGGGCTCTGGCGGCGCATTGTTACGCGTTGAGTCACAGGTGCGCTGACCCAGTTCATTTGTCTAGCCAAGTGTAGGCTCCGGAAATAGGCTCTATAAATAGACTGCTTGTGAATTTTTTTAGACACACGGGCCCGGGAAGGGTTTGGCCAGACGCCAGGGATAAAATGTTTACAATGTAATACATTTTGTGAAGATGTGCTCGACTGTTTGTCTCTATGCTGCTGGGAATCAGCAGTTGCAGTTCTGATAGCGCTGCGGCGAGTTGGCCGCAGAGTCTGTTTGGCGAAATAAATAAGAGCTAGCTGTCTTTTGAGTATCCTTTCTCTGCGTTTTGCTTGACTTGGAGGACAAGAGCCCAGTAGGTTCCCACTACAATAATTATATTGAAATCTTGTGTTAACTTGGAGTTTTTGTTACCATACTTTCAATGGGGGCGCTGTTCAAATACGACGATTATTAACACTACATCACGGAATAACCAAGCTGGCTCTCTACCTATAGTGTCCAAGACGGACATTATTACAAACACAACAAATTTTGGTTGTCAGAGCGGGGGGGGGGGGGGGGTGTTAGCATGTTTTCATGAATTTCTTTGGAAAAAATTGACAGAGCTGGGGGGTGTTGTGACCCTTGTATATTGTTGGTAAGGGTTTGTAGAGCAGTGACATATTTTATCTCGGGGCTTGTCTTTGAACTTCTATTTCTGAGTTCTACGAATGAAATTGGAGCCGAAAGTTGTTTCTTTTATTGCAGTAGAATCGAGGGATTAATTTCCTTAACAGCACCGAGTCTTCCGAAATGCATGCGGGGACAATCATCTTGAGGTGAAAAGACAAACAAACATAAACAAAACCAAACATTGAACAGAAAATACGAATAGGGACAATTAAGTTTTAATCTGACATGTGTCTTAAAACGTCCAAATTGGGAAGTTGTGAGTATTTAATCCAATTACTTGTAAAGTGATGTATTCATCATTGGTGTCTCAGGCGATATTGCCCTGTGTCCTGTACCTGTGCGTGACATTCCACGTAGGCTTCGAAGAATCCAACTTTGCCCATTGTGCTCATCTTGGCCTCCACGCCCTCTAGCGGATACCAGCTAGGCTCCTCCTTCTCAGCATGAAACCATACGCAAATGAAGCCGGCGACTTCATGGCATCGATGCGTGTCCACCTTGACAAAGTCTGGCACTAGGATGTAAAAGGTGAGGGACACCATTTGCAAACACTCAAAAACGAGACTGTCAAAAAGAGATATCTCACTGGATTGTAAGTAAATAACGGGATCACGTACGTTTCCTGTGATATCATTGCGCAAAGTTTGCTGTCATTTTTGTTGAGAAAAAAGCATTACCATCATTTGTGTTCCGAGACGGTTAGGTAAACCTATGCTTGCGTTGAGAAAAATTGTATTGACGCTGTTTTCTCAAAAAGCATATCTAATGAGATAAAATCTCCACAAGTTAGGATTAAAACACCTGTTTTTTGTTCCTTGAATCAGCAAAGCACAAAGCACAAAGTACATAGAAGAAAGTACATAATTTAACATTCGAAAAAAAAAAGATTTCTTCATTGCATTTTTTGTTTATTTTGTAATTCTTATCTAATGATTATGAAGGGAAGCATTGTTTATTTTGTTGAACCCTTTGGCTGCCAGGAGAATAAAGCACTAATGATGACCCTCCATTACCAACCACATTTGGAAACATTTCTTTATTGTGTAGCCCCTCGTACTTCGTGGAGGAAAGACTGAGCTCATTGCTTGTCCAGGAGATGAAAACAATATGTGAACGAGATGCACCGCCTGCATGTTTATTACCCTTGATATGTGTTTACCAGGATTATGTAACCGGACCCGCCAGCGCCAATCCATGTATTTAGGAACAAGTTCAAGGCCCCCTGTTCAAATCGGACGTGCAGGCAAATTTGCTAATTCCCCTAGCAACATTACATCATGGGGACTAGAGGAAGAGTTTTATATTTACGTAATTCAGTAATCTGTTCGATATGTTTCAACCATGGAGCTATAACTTAACTACCGTGAACGCATATGCCAGATAGACATTTCGTCGAGAGGGGGTGCTATTCATATTTTCGCACAATGCAACATAGCTTGGTACCAAAAGGAACCACCGGTGAGGAAGTGGCGTCGAACTTTGGTGCCAAACGGAGCCGGTAGTAGTGAAAGGGTTCAAATACCATGCCTAAGGTACGTCAGCCTGACCAAAATATATTGTATCCAGTGTGACACTTTCTTATTCCTGTTTCCCAATGTCCAGGGGCGGATCCACGAATTTTGGCAGATATTAAACAAATACAAATACTAAAAAAAAAAAAAATCTCAAGCCCCCCCCCGACCAACCCCCTTGGATGCGCCACTAGAGCCATTACGTTGGGGAATTGAAGAGGCAACGAACCTTTGGCCCGAACTTGGGGCTTCCAATTCTGAGCATTTTTGGATGCAATTGGGCTCGAAAGTGGCGCTATTTTGCCTTGCTGTTGAGGGATCGTTTTTCAAGATTGCTACTTTTCCGCATTCGGGAAAATAGGGGTCGCCTTCTTTGGGTGAGAATATCTGAAAAAGTCAGAGGTCAACCCACCCAAAAATAAAAAGAAAATGAAAGATGACATGTTGATCATCATTGTTCTGTGCAGCTTGAATACCTGTGAGAGTTCTGAGCATTTTTGAAAGTGTGGGCAATTAACACTGAATTTTAATGCAGAGTTGCACCCAATAGACAATAACAAACATGGCCGCGCCGCGCGTTCGCTTTTCCGCGGCAGTGTTTTTTTTCAGTGGGCGGAACCTATGGGAGGGGAAAACATATTTTAAAGGTATCAACAAGGGCTGTTCTAGAACAAATGCTCCCTGTTTGGTCAGATCGGTCCGATTTTTCAGCGCACACACAAAACCTACAAAAACTACAAACTGGCATTTTAAACACGGCTAGGCGGCTATACAGTGTCATATATTTTGAGCAAAGAAACTCCAAGTGGCCACCAATCACTACTTCTTCCGTTTTCAAACTTTTCCCACATCCGACAACCCTCTGAATTTCTGCAGACAGTTTTGGTAAGCATCCCCGTGGCTACAAACACCCCGGGCCTCTAGGCAAAGCGTCGGGCTATTTTTAGTACATAAAATACAGATGCATGTTTACATAAATAGTTCAATGGTCAACATTTTCTTCTTTTTTTATCCTGTTATCTAATGCATGTGTTTTTGTTTATTATCTTATCAGGACCGGGGTGTTTTGGGCCACTTCATCTTAGCCAAGGGTTAAGTTTATTTTATGTTAGGCCTACAACAATCTACCTTGCTCGTCGAATAATTTATCTAGACACTTGACGTAGATTTTATTTAACTGGGTTATGAACTTTTTTATCTCCAAGGCAGCAGTTTTTTAGTCCGATCCAAGATTTCACATGGGGCGGGGTGTATAAGAATTAATTCTGTTGTTTTGTGTTTTTGTTTTTGTTAACATTGCTCTTTCAGATTCGACTCAGCCAGTCTACATGTTTAGGCACATAGTGGTTAGTTAAAACGGCGTCCTCACTATAGTATTAAGCGAAGGCATTGAGTTCGAGACTCACCCAAGCACTTGAAAACGTCATTTTGTTCGCAAGCCTTCGGATAGTACAATCTTATAATTACTTTTTGATCTGATTATACATACAATACATGCTTTTGATTAGGCATAGGCGTAGCCAGCGGGGAGGGGGGGGGGGGGAGGTAAGGGGGTATTACCCCACCCCCAATCTGTTGTAAAGGCTGCCGTTTTCCATTCTAATACCATTTTTACACCAGCGTTCCCTCAAAATAATTTGTAAAGAGTGCCCTTTTTTTTGAACAAGTGCCCTTTTTTCTGAACAAGTGCTCTTTTTAAAAAGAAGTGTTGCCCATTTTTTGTACCATCGGCCTTTCTGGGTGCGTTTCTTTGATGTGCACGCACATATTGCCCTGAAAAGCACCGTATATTGTCCGTTAGTGTGCAAAAGCCCCCCCCCCCCCTAGCTTTTTTGATTTTACGGAGGCCAAGTGTCCGGAGGGGGAAAAAGTGTCTACATTTCGTCACAGATGTGCAGCTGTCCTTTTCAATAATTGTCTACCCCCAATAAAACGACCGTGCCACGTCACTTTTAGGTCAATATAGGGCGAAACCAAATGAGATAAACGTCCCCAAATTCAAAATTTCCTCTGAGAAGTAACATGTCTAACAACCGCGGGCAATAAAAACTGAATCTCTAAAACACATCGTCTGCACACTCTGCCTGTCTCTTGATTGGCTTCGCCTTCTGATCTTGATGTCAACCGGATCACCCGGGATAGCTAAGTTTTGCTTGCCCAAGAGGGCCACCGTAGTGTCCTCTTTGTATGACTGTCTGAGTGACTGTCACTTGTGTTTGTAGACTAGGGAAGAAAGCCGGGCCGTGCTATCGTATAGGATGACCTGCAGGAGCAGAGTTTTGTTGGCCCGTAGCAAAATTGAATTTTCGTCCCGTGCAATTTTCACCGTCCTGATTTTGCTTCTAATCAGCGTCCCAATTTTCCTGTTCAAATCTGTAACCCTTTGCATTTTGCAACTAGGTTACGCTACTGAATACACCAATGACAGTACTTAATCTGGCCCATTGTGTATGCCAGAGCCATAAAAGACATCCGGCGTGAACAGCCATTCAGAATACATTCAATAGAATATAGTGCCCTCTTGTGACCAGCAGATGTACTATAGGCTTACGCCTGCCTTTTCTTGTTAATCTCAACATGAACCAGTCAAATATCATGGAGTCACATTTTCGTTCACATCATATTATTTATCTGATCATTTTTTTGTTAATACTTACCCTTTTCTGCGTAGCCGATTTTGACGCATTTACCATCATCCCCACGGTATGTCCACCCGTGGAAAGGACACTCAATACACTCCCCCTTCACCTTCCCGCCAATGGCTAGATTGGCGCCAAGGTGAGGGCAGTATGCATCCGTGATGTACACCTTGCCACTCTCACCTCGGAATACAGCCAAATGCAAACCTGCAAAAAATAAGTAGCCATTATTGAAGGCCCTTTTAATATAAATTACGATGCTGAAATATTACGAATGTTGTCTTTCCATAATTTGAGGGTTAGATTTTTTTCCTATACCTGTTGATCTGACATCAGTTTATTATTCTCTTGCACTCAAAATGTCATTATGACCAATAACAGTGTTCTTTCAAAACAGACAGATGTCATTTTGACAAAGAAAAGTGTCATGTCATGCTAAAATATTACAAATGGTTCTTTGTATAAATTTGGGGTCAACTTTTTTCCTGTTACTGTTAAACTGATATCTGTGATTTAATAAAACACATTTATTAAAAATATATCTATGATTTTATATTTAATAATATATTCTGATGTTCTCCTTAACTAATGCAGTCGTCTTTAACAGTGATTATGAAAAACCACCTACCAAAAGAATTATAAATAAAAAGTTGGAAACCAAGTTTAATGATATTTGAATTGAAAATTACAGTGTACCAATACTAGCGACGTGAGCGTCGCTGAGTGATGGACCTGTTGCGCTTAATAAGATGCCACTATTATTATTATTATTAAAATGTCACAATTTGGATCCTTAGTTGATAAAATGACCCACATGTATGTGTTGCTTTTATTATTTACCAACGGGGTGATTGTTGAACTCAAGTCCTTTAAAAGTGTTCCTAGACTCATACATAGAACTTTCTCAGGGTACGCCATCTTGAAAATGAAAGCTATGCATTAAATGGAAACATAATTATATGGCGGCGTAAATAGTGTGTGCGACGAATGAGTGACTCTCGCAAAGTTTCAACAGATTAAACATGGATGGAATTCCCCGATCAACATTCTAGATAGTCACGTCTCATTGCATTTTGAAGAAGGATCATATGAATATAAATCCCGAAACCAGTGGCCAAACCGAATTTTTTTTGGTCCCCCAAAAAGTGGGTCAAAAAACTTACGGCGTGGGGTTCTGGGCCCGCTAAGGGCCCAGAAAATTGTATCGATTCTAGATGCTCTGTGGTGCGAACTGAGGAAATTTCTGACCACTTTAACTAATGTTTTTTGAGGAAAAGATGGTCGTGTACTCATTGCCTGCCTTTATTGCGACGTCGCTTAAACAAAAAAAAATGGGTTCGTTTGTGGGGTGGTGCATGGCCCCCTTTGCCCCCCCCCCCCCCGGATCTGCCTGGGCATTCATACGGTTCTGTCGCAGCGCATGTGATTGGCAGGTTTAACTGAGGCTGCCCGAGCACTCTTAAAAGTTTCCGGTAAAGTTTGATCCAAATCCGGGTGAGATATTACCTGACACTTTTCCGGGACAAAAAGACTCTCACACACAAAATGTCATTTTGACCAACAAAAAGTTTCATTTTTTCCGCAAACAGGCCTCAATGTTATTTTGACCGAGAAAAGTGTCATCTGTTAACACGACAAATTGCCATTTTGACCCGGAACTGCCGGAAGAGGGTCAGGTCAAGTAGGCCCCAGATTTCGAGTCGACACTAACCCAGTATTTTCAGAGTGCAGACAGAAAACAATGACTCACCCAGCGCATGAACATATTTCGTCTCCATTTTCTTGAGCTCCGCGGACCTCAAGACGGCGAACCAGCCGTTAGGGTAGACGGGCGGGATCGCACCAACTTTCCGCGATCGCTTCATCTCCGCAATGCCGGTTTCTCTGGTCATACCGGCAGGTGCTTTCCGGATGAGGTACGAGTCTCTCCCTTCGTCCCCATAGAAATAGTATTCGCCGAAGATGGCTCCGTAGGCGGTTCCTACCAGGTACGTTAAACCGACCAGCAGACCGAATGTCACAAGAAGAGGTAGAGTAAAGATCTTGCTAGACTCGGATGCAACTAGGCCGGAAGTGGACATAAAACTCGCACCCAGTGCAGCAACCACAAAGCTAACAAATAAACGGCGAGCCATTTTGCAGACAAGTAAAATTCTATGCCGAGTGACGAGAAAATACTGGATTTATATAGATTTTGAAAATCCAATCAAATCCCGTCCCTTTTTATGCAACTTTTAATATGATAAAATATAAAGCGCCGTTGGAATATTTGCTTTTAAGCGATACGGTCTTTGTCCTTGGTAAAGGTTTATCCACCTTGACCTCTAGATAAAATCAACAAAGACATTTGCTAATTATAACATTTGTTATCTGTACGTCTGAAGCATTATCTTGTAAATAGGCTTTGGGGCAACGGCCAATGTATTTTTTTTCTGAAGTGATAAAAATAACCAGATATTTATCTATTGTTGCTATTTGTATCCTCACTGAGTAGGTTTGAACGTGTGCCAGAACATGTCAGCATTGCTTCAATTGTTCGTGTGAAGCGCTAACCAAAAAACAATATTGAGGAGTTTTAATTAAAACCCATACATTCGTGTTAATATTTCCATGAATTATTTTTAACGCATGCAGCATATTGCTGTCTGAACTATAAACATAACCTGCCAATTAAAATGCACAATTTCAACCGGTGCCTATCAAAGCGGAAAATAATGCGTTAATACAATATTGCTTTAAATGTATAGTTCCTCAAATTCATTTGTTCAAATTAATAACTGCAAAATGCGAACAAAACTTTCAATTTAATAATACTTCTGATTTGTTTCACTAAACTTCTACCACCGAGTTAGACAATATCAAACGAAATAGTTCGGTGCCCAATCACCCTGCGCTTGTTAAAAAGACAAACGCAAACCTCTAGTTTTCTTTTGGTGTACCTTTTTCAAATTTTCCCAGAATCCCGAGTACGTGCAACCCGGTGTTTGTTTGATCGAGTCTTTCGAAAGGAAGGTAAAGGTGCATTTTCCCCGCCAAAGGTAACCTTTTACATATATGTACCCAGTGATAGACAGACCAACCACTCGACACCACGAGTGGGGCGGGCTAACAAATGATGCAAACGCGTATATAAGACCTTCGAGCTGCAAATGCCTTTTGATCTTCAGATTATGACCGACTCAGCGGGCGTGTACTGTTTGGTAAACACCCGTGCACATATACTATATGTGCACAATTTGTTTGGACAATGACGTTTCATTGATGTTTGATAAAGGTACGCACATAGGGACGTTGAACTTGCTGTGTCCAGGGAGCAACAAAAACAACTACGAAATACACCTTCCCAATCGAAATCGTCTGGAGTAGGAAACGGCTACTCCGATTGGCAGCGGTGAGTGGGTTGCATATATAGATGCACGTGCATACCCACACTCTGTAAAAATAATGTAATATTACACTGTAATAACACTGTCATCCTGTGGTTAGTAGTGGTCATTTTATTGAAGAAATGCAAAACTTGATCTTTGCCGAACACTTTCAATTGATTTTAGCCACACATGGTCAGTGTGGATATTCGTAGATTTGTTCGTTCCAATTTGAAATTCTAAAATCAATCATGGCGGTATTATACAAGTCATTTAGTATATCGATCAACAGTCTCTACAAACACTGAATAAAAAACAGTCTACTAACTATGAAGATTCACAGAAAACTGAAAGCGACCTGTTTTTCGAAATGTCCAATCACGAAAAGATCTAGTGTCTTCTCATTGTCTCTCATCAGTTTGGCATTTGCCAACTAAAGCGTTTCTCTGTCAGTTATAAATGTGTCTCTTTTTTTTTCTCTTCAAGGACGTAATTTTTTTCGCAGAACATATAGATTTCGAATTAGTATTCAGCGGGCATATGTAAAACTGAAACCAAATTATATAAACACAAAATATACTAAGTAAATCTCTCTGACATAGACCTACTTCAGATATCCTTCAGATATCCTTGTGTAGTGTGTCAAATACATTCAAATCAATAAAACTCAAACCACGGTTACCATATGCTTACTACATTTCGCTTTCGATTGAACCTATATGAACAACCAGCACTAAACGAATCAAATGAATCCAGCTTGATTGCAGCGTTGTGTTTTACACTTCATGCAATGTTTTCCTTGGTATGACAACATCTTACAACAAAGATAGATTTCGACATTTTCATCATTATTTCATCATAATGACGTCCTGTAAGAAAGACCTTTTTTTCACGAAGTTATATTTCGGGATAATGAAGATCATTTTTTTTTTAAATCTCATGATCAATGCCCGATAATGGGAATGACAATACATGCAATCCTATACATATATATTTCAAACATAATGCATCGCAGGATGACTTCATTCTGATTTAACTTTTTTTTTTTGCCTACTGCACCTTAAATTTAACTATCAACTACATGAATATAAAGCTTGATCTAAAACAAAAGAAAATCGAACAACACGTTAAGCACTGATATAGGCCTAGCTGCTTATAACTGGAATAAAAAATATACAGTTTTTCGTTGATACATTATTGAAATTTTTTCACAAAATAATTAACCAAAAACTGATGAACAATAGCTGTGGAAGCATTTATTTTCCGAAGATAATGAAGACATTACCCGTTTGCATGGCATGGCTCAGGTCAGTTACTTGAACTGTTTTTTTTTAGCAAGCGTTTGTTATTCTACATGGAAATGTGAATAGTTTTTATTTTAAGGGAATGTATATAATCTGTTTGCAATATTTTCGGAGAGCCTATATATGGACCTAGGTTTCACCATTGTAGCGGGTCAGGAGGGTTGTACCTCGGGCTATGCTCCGTGTAGAACTGGGAGAACCATCGGCGATGTGCGACAGTGGGACTGTCCTCCTTGACGTACTGCGGTTTGCTCAGGTAGGTCTTATTGGCCCAGATGACAAAGTCTCCTTGTAGCTGTTATGCATAAATCAAAACATTTGTAGTGACTGATTAGTACATACAAATTCCCATGTCCGATGTGACCTAACCCAGGTCAAACAAGACCCGTTAAAGGGGTCCCTGGATCCAGATCCAGAATGGTTAAACCTGGAGCTTGGTCATCTGATAAAGCTTGGATCTGAAATGTCCGATGGAGGCTGATACGGGATACCCTACGCAAACAGTATCCGGGTCACCCTATGCAATCCGGATCAGGGTCACCCGATGTATTAAACCCATATCCAAGTCACTCACTGAAATCCAGGATCTGTTATTTCAATCTTAACTGTTTGTAACCTCAAAAAGCCGGTTGAAGCCAACCAACCGGTTTCAGTTTTGCAGCTACTTGTAACTGAAATTCGGCTTTCCTCAGAAAAAACCCCCCACAATATCAACCACTCCGATTACAATGCAATTGCCTCTTGTTAACTTGTGTTTAGCTTATAGACATGGGTGTATTTACAGTGTTTAAACGCTGAATATTATTACACAGAATTCCGATGCCCAGAATGCAATTCCTTAATTTTTTTCTGGTAGAAGGAGAGGTCCAATTAAAACATGAAGTACTTACTGCAAGGAAGCTGAAATACAGTCTCAGCTTATTGACGATTGCATTTTTGAGTCCCTTGGTAAACGGGCTGTACAGGACGTAGGTCAATTTCTGTCTGAGCGGCCCGACGGGTGTGTTGGCAATAACCAAGAGCTCCTTGCCGAAATCCACAAAGCACAGGCCTGGCCCGTGCTAATTTCAACCAAAAAAAGGGGGGAAATTTCAAAGACATTAAAAACAAACAAAAACAAATATCCATCAATATAATATGGCACGGTGGTAAGGGGCCTCTCATAATGTACGCTACCTACACGAAGAAGGAAAGGGACAACCTCGTCCCCAGTGCTTACTTTATTTCCAACCTCGTTTCCAATAGTAAGTCCTGGATAGGAAACTTTCTCTCCGTATCCTGATTCGATACCGCAATTGGTTAGTAATGGATTTATATCGTGTAGTTGGTGTTATTTCCAAAGTAACGTACAGGCAGGCACCAGACTATTCCTCATTTGCATACGTGTGCAAACATTTTGCACATGCAAATGATCCATCACCAGGGTGAGAGAGCAGGTAGTTGTGGGCGCGTACTGCTCGACACCCTGGGGACGAGGTTAAGAAAGTGGTAGATGACATCGGGTACACCATGCGTACAGGAGGATAGGGACCCAAGCCATTGGGTAGATACGCAGAGCGATGATTTGCTTGTAATAAATTGTCATGAAGTCCATGTGCTTTCTCATATTATCTTTTAATAAATTGTCATGATATCAGTGTACTTTTTTCATATTAATTGCTACAAACTTTTATGCACGGAAGATTGTTATAACATTTCACCCCACCATCTATATTTATAACGCTTAGAGAGGTCATTGATCTGAGGTGTCTCAGATTTGGAGAACAACTTTAACTTTCTTTCCTTTCCTTTTAGTTAAAGAAAACCGTAGTTAAAGGAAACCGCTTCATACTGCACTATCTGGCAAGTGCAGCAATACGGGTATAGACAAAAGCGTCACAGTGGCCTTAGTAATTGAACAAAAATGCTTCCCTGTCTACGATTACATAAACGGCACAATGTTTTACCTGCTCCTGGTATATCTCCCTCTTTTGTTTCTTATATTCTGGACTGAAATAACTCCAGATATTTTTGGAGTCTTTCCGGACAAACGAGGAGGCGGTAATGCCGATATGTTTCTTGGTTTCGTGCACTTCAAATGTCCCGGTGTAGTGCTTGTCGTATATTTGTCTTTAAATGAAAAAAAAGAAAAGAAGATATATCCATAAATATTTTACGGAAAACACAATGGGTCAAGTTTCCCTGTTCTTTTAGAGCAAACTCTTTGAAAGCTTCTACAAAGGCAATGTTGCTCCGTCGAGTGTTTTTTACCCACCTTTTTTTTTTTTTTTTTTTTTTACATCAGAGAGGGTTTTAGCTCGTCTTTGAAACATTGTTTCAGTCTTTTCCCCCGACTATTTGGTGGCGGTTGCAGCTCATCTATGAAACACTATGTTTGTTTGTTTGTTCGATTATTTTTGGACTGGATAAGTTCACCAAAATAGAGGGTCAGTTTGTGAGATCGAGACTCTTGTCGAAAGCATAGAAAATCACGAACGATCCAGGCGAACTGTACCAGCTGGAGGATTATATGGACGCTTGGCATACCAGTCTAACTCAATTTTGCATACAAATAGCTGTAGGCTTGTCGCGCCATTCGATTTTCAGCAGCTCGCGGGAACAGCTGTTTGGAAAGTGAAGAGTGACTAGTTAATACATGTTCACAGGCGGCTAGTTCATGCTACCAGCTACAGGTGAGAGCAGGTAAGCTACTTCCAAGGAAATATAAATGTTCCATCACTGTACCACAGTAAAAGGTTACTTTACTTGCATGCCAACCTTCGTGCACAGGAAACGTGGAGACCCTCAATGTGAACAAATGACACTATGCCACCAGTTTCATGGAAATCCATAAAAAAATATAACATGGAATGGACATTTGCTTTTCCTCTTCTTCTTGGAGATTGCCCTGAACCAGAAATTGTTCAGAAATTGAACCTGAACCAGAAATTGCCTGTACACTGCGTCATGTGCCATGCATGTCCCTACATACACCCCAACGGTACAATTCTGCAATTCCGGATTGCAATTCAGGATTTCTAAAAAAAGAATGGGGGGACAAATGAAATCCTGAATTTAACAAAAGAAAGAAAAAAAACCAGAAAAAAGTGCACACAAAAGACGAATCTCACTTACGGTCCATGGACGACATTTAGGTGCGGTATGTCTCCACCATTCTCAATAATATCCTGCAAAAGAAAAATGAATAAGAAAAAAAAAAGAAATAAAGATAGCGAACTATGATACGCATGTAACCGAGCAACACTGACAGGGAAGTGTTTAACTGACTTACGCAGTATATTTGCAAAAGTATGATTGAAAAGTATATTTCTGGCAACTTTATGTTTTACAATGTTTATTGAAATATTGTGTAATCTTGGAATTTTAGCTCTATTGTAACAAAACGTTCTGCTCAATTACATCGGCTTGAAGATTGTCACTTTATATGAAGAGCTTCATTACAAATCCGCATTGATAATGCTAAAAAAAGGGGATATTGAACTACTTTATTGTCGAGCTAAGTTTCTGCAAATTTATACAAGAAACTTCGTAAAGCGGAGGTTAAGATTATTTGATCATGCTCATACGGATAAGCCCTCTCCTATTTGCACGAAATAGGTGACAGACGAGTAATATATCTTAGATTTATATTGTACAATTCCAGTTCAATTTACTTACTTACAATAGTCCCTTACAAGTTATAACAGTTAATAGACGAATTTCAAATGAGCTATGAAACCCAGGCTCTTAGTACTAAGCTATTAAATGATTCGATGACCTTTAAAAAAATCTTGTAAAAAAGACACCACTGAAGCCCTCAGTTTCAGTGCCAATTTGAAATTCTTTTTTATGTTATTTTAAAACAAAGACATGTACTGAACGTTGCCGAGTGTTAATGCTTAGGTGTACGTCCGAAAATCTGCATGTAAAAGTGACACTCAATCGGTGAAAGAATTACCGATATTACAACGGACAACCGTGTATTTTACATTGCCAGCCAGTAAAGCCCCTAGTTAGGTTGCGACCCTTGTAATTGCGGGTTGTGCAGCAGTTATAGATTTTATCTGGGAGCTTTTCTTCCATTTCTGAGAAATTTGAAATGAAATTGGAGCCGAAAGTTTTGTGCTTTCATTGCAGTTTAATGGAGGGATGGTTTTCTTTAACAACACTGGGTCTTCTGAACTGCATACTGCATACAGGGACAATCATCTTGAGATGAAAAAAAAAGGAAAAATTCCATACTTAAAGTCCCACTATTGAACAGAAAATGAGAAGAGTGACAATCAAGTTTTAATCTGACGTGTGTTTTGACCGTGTTAAATTGTGAGTATTTTCTCCAACTGTTTTTAATTATAATTGAGGAATTCATCATTGGTGTCAATATCCCCATATCCGGTCCTGTACCTGTACGTGGCATTCCACGTAGGCTTCGAAGAATCCAACTTTGCCCATTGTGCTCATCTTGGCCTCCACGTCCTGGAGCGGAAACCAGCTAGGCTCCTCCTTCTCAGCATGAAACCATAGGCAAATGTAGCCGGCGATTTCATGGCATTGATGCGTGTCCACCTTGACAAAGTCTGGCACTAGGATGTTAAAGGTGAGGGACACCATTTGCAAATACTCAAAAATGAAACTGTGCAAATATCATGACATATCTTACTTCATTGTTAGCGACTAATGTAAGCTTCCTTTCAAATGGTTTCAAACGTTATTGAAATCATTGTCTTCGGCAGCATTAAGTGTGCACGGTTAGAATGTACTTTGGGGCCGCAATTAGTTCTATAGGAATTTTCGAAACTTGTCAGTAGACAGCCAATAAACGTTATCATGGGGGGGGGGGGGCTAACACAATTTTTTCGCTGCTTTGTGTTTGTGTTTCGTTTTTGTTTACACTGCTATTTCAGATCCGACTCCGCCAGCTGGCTCCGGTTGTTGACTGGTACAGAGAGCCGGGCAGTGCTATTGTATAGGATTACTCCATAAGGCATGAATCGCCATGTAGAACAATCGAATAGAACACCTTGTGCCCTCTGCAAGCAGATGTACTTTATACGCTCGTTTAAACTTGTTAATGCATCATCTGAACCAGTCAATATCACGGAGTCCCATTTTCGTTCACATTTTAACACTATTTATCTGATTTTTATTCATAATACCTTTTTCTGCGTAGCCGATTTTGACGCATTTACCATCATCCCCGCGGTATGTCCACCCGTGGAAAGGACACTCAATACACTCCCCCTTCACCTTCCCGCCAATGGCTAGATTGGCGCCAAGATGAGGGCAGTATGCATCCGTGATGTACACCTTGCCACTCTCACCTCGGAACACAGCCAGATGCAAACCTGCAACAATAAGTACCCATTACTATAGGCCCTTTTGTTCTGATTTTGGACTGCGATCAATATGTAAATTACCATGCTAGAATAATGACAAATGGTTCTTTCAATACATTTGGTGTACCCGTTTTCCTGTCCTTGTCAACCGGTATCTATGATTTGCTATGTTTGTATATCACTTTGTTGTTGCTTTTGTTCACTAGCGTCGGGCTCCGGTGGCGCATTGTTGGTGCGTTGGGTCTTTTGTTAGGCCTTGGTGCGCGCTCCAGAGATTACTTTCTATAGTCACTAAAAGGTTTGGCTACTAAAATTATTACAATGTAATGCATTTTGTGAGGCTGTGCTCGACTGCTTGCCTATGATGGAAATCAGAAGTTGCATTTGTGATGGCGGTGCGGCGAGTTGACCACAAAGTCCGTTTGGCGAAATAAATAAGAGCTTCTTTTTTAGTTAGAAATCCTCTGTGTGTCCCCATTTGTTGCGTTTTTCCCGACTTGGAGGACTACAGCCCAATGGGGTCCCGCTGATACACAGCGTGAGTAAAAACAAAAACGCATCCCCAATAGCCGGACCAATTTTTGAATGAAGTTTTGCCTGTAGCACTTTAGAAATCTAGGATAAGAACGCCCATTTAATTAGCTTTCTTGTAATACAAGAATCAATTAAATCACTTATGTACTTTTCAATTTACGGCATTTTAAACACAAAGACCGTTTTAAAGCTCTGTTCACGGATCACAAAAAAGTACGTGTTCAGTCAGCAAACGAATACAAACCACGTGCATCCCTAATGTATTCAATAAATAATAAATTCATAGGTGGGACCTTAATAATTTGAAACCCAATATTGACATTTGAATTACCAATATGTAAAAAGGCAAAGTATTGAGTATCATAGTTGATGATCATTGGTACTGTGGAGTCTAAAATATAAGTTGGAATCAGTCACTAATATTCTCAAACGTTACTGGTTTAATGTCCAATATCCGGGTGAGATTCTACCTGACACTTTTCCCAGACAAAATGACAAAAAAATGTTATGTTGACCGAGAAAACTCTACCTTTTACACACAAAAAAAGTCATTTTGACCAAGAAAAGTGTCATGTTTTCACACGACAAATTGTCATTTTGACCATGAAGAGTGTGAGTCGAGTCGGCTCCAGATTCCGGGTCGACGCTGACCCGGAACTTTTCAGAGTGCAGACAGAAAACAATGACTCACCCAGCGCATGAACGTATTTCGTCTCCATTTTCTTGAGTTCCTCGGACCTCAAGACGGCGAACCAGCCGTTAGGGTAGACGGGCGGGATCGCACCAACTTTCCGCGATCGCTTCATCTCCGCAATGCCGGTTTCTCTGGTCATACCGGCAGGTGCTTTCCGGATGAGGTACGAGTCTCTCCCTTCGTCCCCATAGAAATAGTATTCGCCGAAGATGGCACCGTAGGCGGATCCTACCAGGTACGTTAAACCGACCAGCAGACCGAATGTCACCAGAACAGGTAGAGTAAAGATCTTGTTAGACTCGGATGCAATTAGGCCGGAAGTGGACATAAAACTTGCACCCAGTGCAGCAACTACAAAGCTAACAATTAAACGGTGAGCCATTTTGCAGCAACGTTATGAAAACAACATCCGTGCCGAGTAGCCAAAAAATACTAAATTTGTATGGATTCAAAATCCAATCACACCCCGTCCTTTTTTCATGCAACTGAATATACTATTTGTAGCGCCGTTGGGAAAATATTTGCTTTCAAGTGATACGATCTTTGTCCTTGGTAAAGATTTTTCTACCTTGACCTCTAGATAAATTCAACAAAGAAAGCTCCTAATTATAACAATAGTTATCTGTACGGCAGAAGCGTTATCTTAGAGCCTTTACCGACCAATGTATTTTGTTCTAAGTTGTAGGCCTAGTAGGCATCCGTCCGTCAATACTGACGATGGACTGCGCCTGGGGGTTTTTCTTCTTTGTTGCAGCGGCGGCTGTGGCTGAGCAGTCCAATTCTTGCATGATAGTCTCTGCCGCAGTTAGCGCAGACGAAAGGAGAGGGGGCTGGCACAGGGGTGGGGGCTGCCTCTTCTCCTGCAGCAAGGAGGTGCGCCTCTCCTCACTTTTTTTCTAAAGTGGTAAAAAATAACCAGAGAGTTGTCAGTGACGTAGCACGGTCATTCGACTGGGGGGGGGGGGTTAACATTGCACATCCTTGGTCAAATGTAAGCACGTTTTTTCCCAGGATACTTGGTCTCCGTAAAATTCAAAAGCGGGGAGGGGGGGGGGGGCTGGTACCATCTGTCGGTTGAGGCACTGTTCAAAACCAACTATTATTCACGCAACCGGCCAATATATGGGGCTATTCAGGGCGATACGTGCGTCGAATTAAAAAAAGGCACCCGAACGACCGCTGGTACAAAAAGGGCACCAATTCTTGTTAAAAAAAGGCACGCGTTCAGAAAAAAGGGCACTTCTTAATAATAAAAAAAGGGCACTCCTACGAAAAATATTGGAGGGTAAGCGCCGGTTACAAACTCGAGCATTTCAATGGAAAAGACCATAAAACCTTTTGTAACCTCTCAAACGTTGATAATTACCAACTAAGAAGGAACACGGCTAGGCTTATCAAAATTGATTGAAAACATATATAACGTAGTATATTAGTCGAATAACTTTGGGTTGGCCCAAACCTTTTTCCTTAAAAAACATGTGTCCAGTATTACACGGGACAAAGTGCTATAGATCGTACACTAATGTAATCAACCGAAATACTAATTTAAGTCAGGTGATGATGTTGTTTGCTTGATCGAGTCTGTGGAACGTACGTTAATGGGGGGGGGGGGGGCTTTCGCATGTACCAAATGCGTACATGGAAAGACCTTCGAACTTATAACTTCTACTGATCAGCCGGCGTGTACTAACGGCCGCATTCCGACGATCATCGGGATGTACCAAATGCGTATATGGAAAGACCTTCGAACTTATAACTTCTATTGACCTCCAGATTTTGACTGATCAGCCGGCGTGTACTAACGGCCGCATTCCGACGATCATCGGGATTGTGGAAAACGTATCGCATTCACTTTAAGCTTGAGTCGCCGTATTAAAAAGATGGTTCGATTAAGTTGCACATATAGGCACAATCAAAAGGTAGGAAGCGGGCGTTAAAAAAAATAACCTACTGTGCACCGGAGCATCACCCTTAAAAAAAGACTCCAGAGCCTACAGAACTGGGCAGCTCGCCTTATCTACAAGACTTACCGGAGACAGGATTCCACCCCTTGCATTAGCAGCAGTCACTACATTGGATACCTCCTGCGTTTTGCCTCATGTTCCCCCGGACCAAACCTCCGTTCTATTTCTGTAATCCTTTTCGTCTGACTTCCCCACGTACCCACAACAAAGCTTGTGCCAAAACCTTCACTGTCACTATACAGCGAAGGAGTGAGACCCTTATATTCCACCAATAATCCATTCATTGTTATTCTACCTGTTTTTATTATTTAACTTAAATTATTTCGTTCAAACATACATCCTCGACCCTATTCCAAGTGACATTTAAAAAAATCGGGACAATCGGCAGAGGTGGTCATTAAATAGAAATATGAAAAAAAAATTAAAAACTGTTCCCATTTTCCCCCAATTGATTTCAGCCACACATTGTTGAGTGACAACCCTAGGGAAGCCCGTTCCTGCCAGGGTTTTTAAGTTAAAAAAATATTTTTATTGCGAAATAACGCAATAGTATTGCGAAATAACGCAATAGTTTTGCGAGATAACGCAAAAGTATTGCGTATTTCGCAATACTATTGGGTTATTTCGCAATATTGCGTTATTTCGCACTACTATTGCGTTATTTCGCAATAAAAATATTTTTTTTTGCTTTAAAAACCTGGTGCAAACGGGCTCCCGTACAACCCTGTTGTGAACACTAGTATGATTGTTTGCAGATCGATTTCGGTCAAAGGTCAACCAGTGATGGGCTGTGGTCATTTTATAACAACTACCTCCAAAATATTCTTCTCTTCTTATTTTGGAGGCAGTATAAGTCATCAGCGGACCAACACACCCTGCATATTTGCATGCAAATGAGGGCATAATTATTCAAAATACTTGTAGGAGGGAGCATTCCGTACACATACATATAAAAATGGAGGAAAGGAAAGGATTCCTCCCGATTAGTTTCTCTTTTGGTGAACATTTTGTGCCCACCAGTCAGGTTATAACAACCCATCAGAAGCCTGCGTGGTTCCGCAAACAAAACTGCACCTGTTTTGGGAAGTTATTTGTAACCCAGGTATCGTCGGTGTTGTATGATGTGAGTGTATGCTTTCTTGTCAACCGTTTTCATCACTCATAATTTGTTAGCTCACTGAATTAACAAAATACATGGAATTGACTAAGTTGCGAAAAGCAAGACACATATGCACCGTTTATTAAGTGAAGGCCAAAGTTTTCACCGGAAATACTTAATGGCTAATCGATTGCTCAAGGGAAGTTATTATTCAACCAATGTAAAAACTTTCTCGAAATTTCGTCCCCTATTGGTCACCCCCTCAAAGGAAACCAAGACTAGGCTTGCAAAGACAAGATGGACTTGAAAGTTGCACATTATTCATACCCAGCAACCGATCGGGGGTCAGACAGTCAGTGACATACTATTTCGGATTTGGCTGCTCCAAAACATCATATTCAGCCTTATCCTGAAAACTGCCCAGTGAAAAAAAAAATCGTGTCAATTGAAACCCAGTAGACACGTACACATTGGACTATGGTAAACGTTAATCAACCGAAATACTAATTTAAGCAAGTTCATGTTGATGTTTGTTTGATCGAGTTTTACGAAAGGAAGGTGAAGGTACATTTTCCCCGCCAAAGGTAACCTTTAACATCGATGTACCTAGTGATAGACGGACAAACCACTCGACACCACATGGGGCGGGGAGCGGGGGGGGGGGGCCTAACAAATGTTGTAAACGCTTAAAGCGAGACCTTCGATCTTCAAAAGTCTTTTGACCTCCAGATTAGCATGTTTAGTAAACACCCACGTGTATTTCGGTACTATTGGTAGATCGATTGTTTGCACAATGACGCATCAAAACTGCATTAACGAGATTGTTTGATAAAGGTTAGCACATATCACAACTAAATGTAGGTGGGCGTTAAACTTGCTGTGACCAGAGAGCATCACAAACAACGACGAAAAACACCTCCCTAATCGAAATCGTCAAGAGCAAGAAATCGCTGCTCTGAACGGCAGTGGTGCGTGAGTTGCATAGATGCGCGTGCATACTCAATATGGGCGTCGCAAGGGGAGGCGCTTGCGCCCCTCCAGCAACCCCCCCCCCCAAAAAAAAGGGAAAATAAAAGAATAGAAAAAGAGGCGCGAAGTCATATTACTGTTAATTTAATAAGGGCTGGGGTCAAATGTCACTGCCCAGCCTCGAAAAATGATAAATCGAGCATATGCTTGAAAAGTACGGGGATTTCGGGAAAAACAAATGTGCTTTTCCCCACTACAGGAAAAAATCCTGGCGACGCTCATGAAACCCACACACTGTAAAAACAAAGTTGGGTAAAGTAATGCTTGGCATTGTAGTTGGGCCAACATTGGTATGACGTTGCCTCGTTGGTGAATTCAGGTGAAAATTGACCAATTATTGGGAAGAATATGCCCCAGAGTGTCGGCAGTTGGTACGTTGATCAACATTTGGAAAAACACTAATCCACTTTCCCAACCTTTTCGGAAAGTCTTTACAACGGGAAGAAAAATATAGATCAACAACAAAATAACACCCCAAATAACCTCCCCCATTAAATCCATTTATTGCAATATAAGTTGAGTTGAGGTGTTCGTGCCTATATTTTTAATATATTTAAATGATGTCTTAAGTGGGCTGATCAACTTACGGTCTTGTTGCCTGATCCGCAAATCATAGGCGACGTCATGTCACTTGACGTGTGTGATGCAGCCACGTCAGGGAAACACTGCCTTTGTCAGAGAGCTATAATGGGACACTTTCTTAAATAATTATGATACTGGTCATGACCGTTTTTTTCCCAAGATGCAAGCTAACCCAGCTTCAATTTAATTGAATTCAAAAAATTCAGGATCGACATTGTGACAGGCATGGGCCTGTACTGTTCAAGTGTTAATTACAACGAGTTTACATCCGAAAATATCTGAACCATTGCCAACACCAATGGTAATATCCGAATGGTAACGATAGAGGGAGCTAGATCACAACAGTGTTTTGTTGACTATTCGCAATCCAAGTAACATTGGTGTATGCAGTGGGTGTATGCATGGTTTTCATGTCAACATCGTTTATCACTCAGCATTCGGATAGCTCAATACAATTACATACAACAGATTGGGTAAAGCAAGATATATTTCTTTTTTTTAATTAACTGAAGGCCATCTGCCGTTCAATTCATTTGTCAATGTTTTCTGCATCACCAGAAATGCTGAACGGATGGGAAATTATTCAATAACGTTACACTTGGGTTTTAACGCCAGACAATTCATCTTTCCTTTTTTTTGTAAAAGGTGACCGATTGTCAACCTGAAATTTCAAAATGTCTAAGCTTTACTACACAATGTTTTCACACTAACGTTGGCATAAATGATAAAACGAGACTTTATTATGTAAACAATGCTCTTAGTAATTTTAAGAGATAATAATGAAATTCTTTTTTTTTTGTTGAAGTCGAGTACTTTTATCCGATTATCAAGTACTGTCGAATACCAAGGTATCGATTTCCACTCAAATCTGGGTACTTTGACCTTTGGGGATGAGTAAAAGTACCCGATTCTATAAAGTGCTTGGACATAGAAGTACAAGTTTTGTGAAGCAGAGTCCGAGTACTTGGACCTCTGAATACAAGTACGAGTACTTGGAAGTCCGAGTACAATGAGTACGAGTACGTGATCCCTGAGTACGAGAACTGCAAAACTTGCAAAGGGCATTCTCTGTGATCCCTGAACCCATACCGAATCATACATGAAACTGACATTATCGTATTCAGCTGACCTTAAAAGTTAGAAACAGGCCACTTTTCACAAGACATATGCAGGGAACGGCGGCACACACGACTCAGACACCGAAATCACGCGCACACCGAATGCACCGCTGCCGCACAGTGACGTGTACCTAACTGGCCCAAGTTTGCGGATCGACCATTTACGAACAAAAATTTGCTACATGTATAGGAGGTACGTCCAGAATGAGTCACCCTATGAAATTGGCCATTCGCGGGCGATCGTCTGGTTCCGATCTCACGCAGACGCCGGTCACGCATTGTACATGTGGAGTATGTAGTCTGAGCATAAAGTCAAACACAACGAAGATCCATCCTCTACATGTGCACATCCCGGAATCATTCAGTAAGTATTGATACAATTCTAAAACGCACGTGAACACGTGAGTCTTTAGGTAAATTATTTTATTTCGTTCAAAACTAAATTAATCGTATTTCCCGAGACCCTATAATCCAGTACGAGTACTTTGATGAACGAGTACGATATCAAGTAGTCGTGTCCAAGGACTTTCGCTTCTCTAGTACGAGTACCGTGAATTCGAGTCCGAGTATTTTTATACTCAAGTGCGAGTGCGAGTACGAGTACTCTAAATACAAAGAAAGTACTTGAGCATGGGCGTCGCCAGGATTTTTTCTAGGGGGGGGGGCAAAAAAATTTTTGGCCAAAAAATGCTTGTATTTCTCAACACATTCTCGATTTATCAGTTTTAGAGGGGGCAGGGACATTTTGCCCCCCCCCAACTCACATACTCATTAAATTTACACCACTTTGTCTTCGCGCCTCTTTTTTTTTTTTTTTTTCTGGGGGGGGGGGGGGGCAATTGTGCCCCCCCTTGCCCCCCCCCCCCCCTCGCGACGCCCATGTACTTGAGTTGTACTTGACTACGAGAACCGAGGGCAAGTACAACAACACTGGTTGCTACAATATCATAAAATGCTACACAATTACCAAAGTACAGATTCACAAAAAGAGGAACGATTTTCCCCCAAGATCTTTACATGAGGTAAACCTTACTGTCCGAGAGCGGAAGTTATTTAGTTTTAGCACAATCCCACAAAGTTCACAATAAACCAACTTGCTCTCTACATAAAATAACGCATTATTAAATCCTACAATACCAGCCCCATCCACAAAAGCTAGTGTTTATCGCCGAAGTATCACTTAGACAGGATGATTGGGTGTCAACCTTCCATCGAGGCGTTATTGTATTTTATTTATTTATTTATTTATTTCGTTTTATTTTATCAGGGTAGCCCCATCAGTTGTCAATGAACTGTTCTCCCTGGGGGCCCTAAATTACATAAAAACATGATAACATGATATAATAACGGGAAAAAAAGAACCAACACACACAATGAAAATCATAATGAAAACATTACCATAAAATAACCCCAGGAATTAAAACCCCACAAAATTAAAACCATTGATTAAAACAGACGATATAGTTAAAAAGATTTAAAATGGAACATTAATCCTGAATAAAAAAAAAGACATTAGCTTGTTAAATATTAGAGAGTGAACTATCGATTGTCCCTAGTCCATAAGAAGGCAACTGTTCTTAAAATACAAACCATATATACAACCCACACCACTTCCCATGAACCATAAACAAATCCCCATACATCTGTAACTATCATCTATTTATTTGCCCAGCACAGCGTTTTAAAGGACGCGAGATCATTTGCCAGTTTTACATTGGGTGCCAAGTTGTTCCAAGCCTGTGTCCCAAACAAAATAAAAAGATTTTTAGCAGCAGGACATTCAATTTGCATTATAATCATGACGTCTCTTCAACTGTATTTATGGGTGATTAAATCTTTAGGATTGGCTAGGTATCATTTAAAATGCTTAAATTATTGTATGCGAAGATCACATGTGAAAGGCTTTATTGTTGTATCTGCCCTCTCCCAATTTCGTCTCTCGGTGTAATAGCTACAACAAAAATGCACTACTAGGTCTACTTTAAAATCACATGGAGGACTAATTGTTTCTACAATTATTTTCAATGATGATAAAAACCAACGATGATAATCTCTGGAAAATTCGGCAAGGTGTCTAGGAATCAGCAATGACTGATCAGGTATCGAGGTGTAACTAAAAGATTATTGCTAGTGGTACACATTTTATCTTGTGTCAAGACTTGAAAAAGAAGCACTTAACACAAGCACATAAGGCATGACTACGACTGACATAATAATCAGATATCACTACAACCATCAAGAACTGATTTGTAACAAAAAAACGCACACACCCTCGACATAAATAATGCACAATGAGAATGCACTTGGTATTCGTGGTTCACCCGACGCAGTTCCATCTTATGAATAGATATTCATGGTGTTCAAGATTCATTTTCGAAAAATGTTCCCGATATAATTAGATGTCATCAAAAGTCACTATCCGAGCTGGAGATGGCGGGTATTTTCGGACTAAAGGTTCGGTGCTGCTACCGTCTCCAACAGAGTCGTAAAGGTGATTGGTCGGCTCATCTGCGACGCGAGGCACGCTGCGGGGCTCCGTTGTATGTCTTGGCCTTACGTTCTTGGTCTTCTTCATGAGTGGTGGTAGCTGGGGGACGTCCAGGGAGAAATAACCTGCTTCGGCATCTGCTCCGAATGAAGGCGGTGAGGAGGGCGCCTTTTCTGAGATGGTCGGGAGCAGTGGTAGACTCTGCCCTGGAGGTGCGTCGTGGATGTCATGTACCTCCAAGTGCCTGGATCGAGGTTTTCTTGGGCGGTGTGTAGGGGATGTGCTCCCCCGATCCCTCCGGGAGTGATATCGGATTATAGTCTGCACCAGGACCTGCGGATGGTAGCCAGGCTTCTCGATGTAGATGACGAAGAGACGGTAGAACTGGAGCAGCATGACCAGCATGTTCTTGCAGGTGAAGAAGATCATCATCTGGTTGATGGCGTTGAGCTTGATTAGGATGTAGAGCCTCATGGCCAGGAAAGGCCCGTCCTGCATAATGATGGTAGTCATTAGGCCCCAGACTTCGGTCTCGCAGCACATCAGGGTCACCTTGGGCTTGTCATCGTCGATGCCGGCCATGCGGGGCTTCCGGGCCTTTGTAGCCGTGAGCCCCAGGGTGAACTGCAGCAGGCTCCAGGTCCAGATAGCCAAGATCCAGAACACCATCTCGTAGTCGCACCGTACCTCCTCCATTTTCAGGCCCTCGGTGGAGAACTCCAAGATATCGGCGGCAATACCGATGTAGACCAGAAGGAGTTGTGAGAGCTGGTCTCGTGTAAGGGAACCTTTTGGAAGTAGCCATCTCCCTACGATGAGAACAAACAGGAGCGTCTGCTGAAGGGCCAGGGACCACAGGTGTGATGGTAGGTAGAGTGGAATCTCTATCTGTTCGAAAAAAGGGATACAAAGAGACGGTTTTGTTCAAAAACAGTTCTACATGACATGTTTATGGTGTAAATCCAGGACACACACACTTGCAACATCATCGATGAATTGAGAACAGGAACCAAATCATGGACGACCTCGATTAGAAAAAGTGTACAAAACCAATAAGAGCTGTTTCAAAAAGGTTAGGTTAAGAGTAGTATAAACAAAGGAAAGGGGACGAGGAACTGATGCAGCTGTAAAACTGGAGCTGCTGCCTAAAATGGCCATAGAAGTTTCCATTTAAACAAATTATGATGCAAGGGCACTTTAATAGCGCCCTCTTTTGGCACTTGTTTGAACTAAAGGCACAAGGCAATACTCACTCCGGGTATTAAGCCGCCAAGAGCACTTCCGTTGGTGTAGATGGAGTCTGATTCCAGACAGACGTCCAGGCCTGTCGCCAGCGACAGCTCGACACGCTCCTCCATGAGTTGCAGCTCCAATATCCAAATTGCTGGCACAGTAGAAGCCAGGTAGACCATGACACTAGGACAAAACCTAGAGAATAGAGAGCAACGACACAAGTGAAACACCAAAATGAGTGAATGTTTTCCTGACAATAATAATAATAATAATAATAGGGGTTGGTATTTACAAAGCGCACGTATCCACCAGGACTGGTGCTCAAGGCGCAACATCATCATTACCCCTCCTCATAGGGCCCGTAAAACATTTCAAATACCATCTTGGAGAGTATACAACTCGATGCAGCCTGTTAGACACAAGGAAGCTAATTCAATCACAAAAACCATCTCTGCCCTCACAGGTACCCAATACTCCTGGGTGGAGAGAAGCAATGAGTGACAAAGTGCATTGCCCAAGGGCACACGCACCAAGACTTATTGAAGCAATTTCTAAAGAACTTATCACAAGGAGACACTGTTACGACTACACGTTCTCAGTACAGCAACTGAAATTTATTGAAGTAATTGAGGAAATTTATTTCAATCTGAAAATCAAATGTCGTAAATTTTTTTTTTTTGAATTGTAGACACATGTAAATCTAAGCAATATTCAGGGATTCATGTTGCATGGCTGTAATACGGATTGCGTCGTTATATACCCGGCCCCTATTTTCTCAAATATATGGTTGATTAAGTTCAGTTGACAGTGGTGGTGTATGATTTTAACTAAGCTGAAAACCTTTTCTAATGCATAACAAAAGGACATTATAATGTTTTTGTAATATTCACTCAAACATCAATTGCGAGACGGTGATAGGTGAAGCAGCGTTATTAGCACAAACATGGGATTAATTACGATTCAGGCTCAACTCTAGATTGGTGACTTGGAAAGTCCCTCGAAAGAGAACAAAATCTAAGACTATAACCTCCATTAAATTGAACTCAATTTATAATAACCATACGACTTGAAACAAAAAGTAATGTTTCCTATCCTCTTTTGTGAAATGTTTGGAACTGATTTACCACTTAACCTTTTTTTTATTGAAAGATATTCAAAATCATTGAAAGTCATTTTAACTACTACCTTTAAAAACAAAAGGGATTCTTTAACTGAGCCCGCCGCTATGGACGCAGCGCGTGCATATATTTCGGCAGTGTCACGTCTACTTCAGTTCTCATGTAATCCATCTCCCGGTATACCTAAATGGCCCAGAGGCAATGATGTAGGTCTCTAAAGTTAACGATTGTGCAGAATGAAATGACTCAGGCCCCACCACAGAGTGACGGCTAACATTAATGATGCTTTCCGACAGCTTGGAACATTGCACATTCCTTATTATTCGCGCGTATCTGTCACGTTGGCCGTGAATTTCAGGCAATGAATTGCTGTATAGACGCAAGCGCGCCCCACAGGGAACGCCCAACTGCACGAATCACGCCTAATCACTCAATAACGAGAACTTCAAAGTGACTCGAATTGAAACTGTCATATGCCAACGACTTATAGCTGATCATGCAGCGGCTTTATTGGGTTCTTTTCCGTTCGTATTGTGCCCAGAGAGATTTCATTTGAGCTCGGATGCTGCAGACGATTCTGCAAATGAAAACGCATACATCCTTTAATTGATTAAATTTCTCCTTGAATTGACCTCCATCTCACGAGTTTAACCCAAACTATTTTTTTTTTAATGTTTGTGTGTGTTTGACTTCAATAAATGCGTGATGTACTTTTCTTTATTATAAGGAACGTTTACGTGATTAATCCCATTTAAAATGTGCGTGATTAACAACATTCATAAATGTGGTTGAAGGAAAGCCGAAGAGGGTCAAAAGAAGCAAAGTACCGTATTCCAAAATAGATCGTCACTTTTGAATTTGTATACACCTGTCCACTTCAAGCTTTTGTTTCACATGATCCGCTTCGTGTAATTAAATTCCATGGCAGCCATCTGTCGCACCAAGCCTATCAGGAGGTTAAAAATATGAGTCCCTAACGAAACCAAAGAACCAACGAGTGACACGACAAGATTTCCATTCCATGGAATGCGGCCAAAATCGTTACTCACAGCAGTAAAGACCATTTTGCGTGCATATGGGCTACCTTCACTAAGGAAGCGAAATACCAGCTGATCACTAACCCATACGGCTTAAACAGCAGGCTCTGTCGTTCTTACGCTGCGGTTGCAAACACGGAGATCTAGATAACAAGATCTAGAAATCTCGTGTTACTCTTTGTCTACGCGGGCACCCGGGATGATTCAGTATCCAATTGCCTTAGAAAGAGAATCTTCTGGATGACAGTGTCTTCCAACCATGCATGAGGCAGCGGGCCTGGGGTACTTGGCGCCACTCGCGCACCGTAGGAGGATAATTCAGATTCTTGGAGGATGAACCATACATTAAGCGGTGTCTTCACGGAACATCTCTAAGGCGAATTGGACTAATGCGAAATGAAAGCAAATGACATGTGATGCGGGTGGGGGAAAAAAGACGACTTTAGTTTAGCCTCCAAGACATAATTCCGACGTGACTATTGATGTTCAGATTTCGAAATTAGAACCAAATGCTAGTATAATTTGAAAATGATTACATGAGATGGGACAACATACATCTTAAACCAGCGTTTCAAAAGTCATTCCAATACTGGTTTCGGCCTTCGTGCATGAGAACTGTTATAAGCCAATATATTATATTCCCTTTATATTCCCTTTACCAATGGAAATTAAAGAAAATCATTAACTGTTTTACTTTTGTCGTTTCATTTGAGGAAAGTTAATATAAATATTTTTCTTCATAGGCTTGAATAAACAGAAGCCAACCCCTCCCCCTCAAAAAAAGTCAGACTAACTTGCAACTTATATATGATTTTGTTTTTACATCTCATTATAAAGGCATATTTGACCATTTGCAATTATCCCAAAAGTATTAAGAAGCTTACTCCGATTAAAGCACAAACTGGTGTACTAAACATCCGTGGAGCTATTCCGCCTGGCTTGCTGTCATTAAAAGAAAACCAATAAATGATAGGTGATTTTAAAAAGATCGGCCAAATGGCTGATTTTTGGACATAAAGAGTGCTTTAGACGAAATCGCGTTTCGCGATCCAAAGGTTGTGCCTGTTTTTTCACTGTTTTCTCGAAACGTATAATATCCACTTAGCGGGATCTTCTTCAACAGGTTAGGTTATAAACAACCTTCTTTAGATTTCGAGTGATGTTATTGGAAACGAACAAAATGCATGAGACGCAACTGATCTTATAGCATATGCCTTTAACTAAGTACGAATCGATCTCGGAGGAAAGGGTTTACACCTCCAAACTGCTTTTAATTGAAATCGAAGAGCACATTGATCGGCTTTCGGTTGACACACAAAAGGTATCATGCCTGGCAAACAATAAACCGCACTTGTAAGGTTTATTGCCATACCGTGCAATGCGTCTGTAATATTGTACACGTTCCTATACCGATTGGGGTCAGGTGCACTTCTGGACTGAAACACAAGCGCCTTGAGGCACTAATTTTTGCCCCGTGTTGATTACTTTTATAATCAATTTTCAGGCCGAGAACACATCAAAGGTTTTTTACCAGCTTGCATTCAGCCGTTCACTTCTTCATGACACATGAGTTTATATTTATCATTTGTCTTCGTTTGGATTTTGATATGCATGTGCGTTCTAATTACGGAATCAGTATATTGAAGGTATGTTCTCTGTTTCCAAGGAATGAAATTTTACTCTATTACCAACTGGAAGGAGGATTATGAGTGAAAAAAGTACTCTGTCTGAATGAAAATGTTTGGGGCAAAAAAAAAAAAAGTAGGCCTACCGGAGTGAAAAAAAAGCTATTCGACGACTTGCCCTCAGTTGAAATTTGGTAGAGTAAATGAATTAACACACTTTGGAAAACCGTCGGCAGTTGCATAGGATGGATACATTTTGTATTGCAATAAAATGGTGCTTTAGTGCAACACAAAAAAGGGTGATTGACAACCGCCACACTTATTGATACTCCCAGCCATCAAAAGAGCAGCATCCAGACGGGAAAGGGTTGGACTTGGACTGGGCTTTCTTCCATTGCTACATGCCATACAAGACTTGTCTCTACGTTAAGCCAAAAACAACGCTAGCTTGACCGAGTTGCAATGCAAATCTTCACTTGTTGCCTGCGCCTACACAGCCCAAGCGTCTTATATTGAATATAACGTCCATCCAAGCGCGGTGTAGGTTTCTCGGGATCAATATTTGCCTTGAGCGCCCTATATCTCTCTAGCAGCACTATTGTTAATATGGCTACGCCAGTTTAAATAATTATTAGTAGGGTCGAGTAAAAGTATAGCCTTTGGCAAAATATGACGCGTTGTTAAATTGGTGGGACATACAGTTGAGGACGCCTTGTCAGTGAAAAGAAGCATCGTGGTTACAGTGGGAGCATCATATTTTTCACTTGTCAATCAGAATCTTTATCGTAATGTGCTGTCTGTGTGATAATTGAAATAATTACTGATTAGAGAATTGTGAATAGTAAGTGAAAGTTTGCTGTTGCCTGTCGAAGCCTGAATTCTCTTTTTTGAGTTGATGTGGGAAATGAACAGGTCTATATACGCATTTCAGATTTCAACAATAAATGGAGGGGACTAGCGTTTCAATCATAGCAGGGGAACCTCGTCAAGCTGTATCATGTGTCGTGTTTCTTGTACGGCAAGATCATTGCAATTGTGACATCGTTGAACTTCTTCCGGACTGGGATATAGGCGAACGAAGGGAGGTTATGGACAAGGAGAACATTGATTTTCTCCCCGCAGTTTCAAAATAAGTTTTCCCCCTCCCCCAACGTTTGGATCCCTACTACATGTGACATCATTATTTAAGATGCCAATAAAAAAAAAATTCAAAAGGAGTCGATTTAATGAAAAAAGTAATGTCAAATTACTACTTGATATTGCAATACTGACAATTGCGCACATGCAAGCTACAGCAACTTGAACTTGTTTCTGATGTAACAGAGCCATAATGTGATAGAGCACCATCACCGAGGAGATGTTTTGTGACTGTAATTCAGCGACAATCAAAGTACGAATTGCCTACTAATGCGTAT